AAACGTCTTTTGAAAAGAGTATAGCAAACGAAATTGCTAATGCAGCAAAAACTAAAATGTGGATTCGAACCCGAAATCAGTCGAATACAACCTGCTCATCCCTTGTCCCTTGTACAGGTAGGACAGGGTATGAACATTTGAAGAATCATATGTTTGTAAACAGGGCAAGGTAAGTTTGTTTTTAGGAACATATATTTGATTTGTAATTTGGGGTTGAGGTTGCTGTGATTTGTAATTTGGGGTTGAAGTTGCTGTGATTTGTAATTTGGGGTTGAGGTTGCTGTGATTTGTAATTTGGGGTTGAAGTTGCTGTGATTTGTAATTTGGGGTTGAGGTTGCTGTGATTTGTAATTTGGGGTTGAGGTTGCTGTGTTGCCCTGGGAATTACCGGCTCAGCATGTGACGCATTAACAAAGGGCCACGCACAGGCCTGACACAAGCGTATTTAACACAAGCGTATTCTACAAATAGAGCAGACAGTACCCCGAAGGGCCATGTAGCATACTTGTATCCAGTCAGTGTTTGAACACTGTTTTGTGGTGAGTCACTCTTTGAGATCCAGGTCAGTGTATTAAAGCATTACATCATAGCCACACAAATGTAATAGAACATAGCCGAGATCTAGGTGTAGATTAGAAGGAGGTATTACCTCATCGGTACGCATGGGAGGCTTAACTATAAAATAGTACTGTCGGAAATAGAAAAAAACTGTATTTTCTCATTTATCTCTACAGTGTATGTAGTTGATATGTGAAAGTGTGAAATATCTGTTAAACTAAGTTCGGCCTAACTACAGTCTCAGTGGTAGATAGATAGGAAACGGAGAAAAAGGACTTTACTGAGGGGAAATTAGTGCAGAAATGAGCAATGCGGTTTTTATCTAAGTCCAAAAAGACTTATTTGGAACAGACCATGGCTTTATGCAAATTAGTGTGCGACGATATTGTATTACAAAGGACACTTTTTAAATGCCCAATTTGAAATTAGACGTAGATTCATTATAAACGATAACTGACGTAAAATATAATAACTTTTATGCCGAAACTATTAAAGATGTAGCTACCATGCAGTCTCACTGTCACTAAAAGAAACAGATAGGAGGGGTCGCCTCAAAAGCAAAACCTGGGGTCGGGCTTGGGGATAGAGATATCAGCTAAGATAAGATAATCCTTTAGGGCAATTATACTGAGGAGGTACACGGCACGTCATAACAATTTACAAATAATATCCAGTCCTGTCGATCTTCGGGTGGTCATGCCACCTATATACTACGATGCGTTTCTATGGTTTCTTATCATATCTCATACATATCTCAACATAAACTTTATAAAGAAAGACAAATAACAATATAACCGGTTTTCAGACAAATATGGTGTTGTTATTTCACATATCCAATGGCTACCCGGCTATGCTGATGTACAGGTATCATCTGGCGACCTTGACATTCAGGTCAGATTACATCAAGAATAAGTTGGAAAATATTCCACGTCTTAACTCAGTATAAAAAAAGTAACCTAAATGTTTGGCCTTGAAGTGTGCAGACCGCCGTCTCCATGTGGCCTGTACATGCTATTTATGCAGTTTCATTCACGTGGGTATTCACGCCGGTGTGCACAAGAAGTGTTTAAATTTGAATGTAAAACTAAAATATTAAGAAATAATGTGGGATCTATATTCATTCTATTTTTAATAGGCCTATCAAAACAATAAATCAAAGGATGACTTGTTTCAGGACTGTCTGATCACAGCGTTGTGGGGTTGCAGTGTATATGTCACAGTGTATATGTCACAGTGTATATGTCACAGTGTATATGTCACAGTGTATACAGTGTATATGTCAGTGTATATGTCACAGTGTATATGTCACAGTGTATATGTCACAGTGTATATGTCACAGTGTATACAGTGTATATGTCACAGTGTATATGTCACAGTGTATATGTCACAGTGTAGTGTAATATGTCACAGTGCATATGTCACAGTGTATGTCACAGTGTATATGTCACAGTGTATATGTCACAGTGTATATGTCACAGTGTATATGTCACAGTGAATATGTCACAGTGTATATGTCACAGTGTATGTGTCACAGTGTATATGTCGTATATGTCACAGTGTATATGTCACAGTGTATATGTCACAGTGTATATGTCACAGTGTATATGTCACAGTGTATATGTCACAGTGTATATGTCACAGTGAATATGTCACAGTGTATATGTCACAGTGAATATGTCACAGTGTATATGTCACAGTGTATATGTCACAGTGTATATGTCACAGTGTATATGTCACAGTGAATATGTCACAGTGTATATGTCACAGTGTATATGTCACAGTGAATATGTCACAGTGTATATGTCACAGTGTATATGTCACAGTGAATATGTCACAGTGTATATGTCACAGTGAATATGTCACAGTGTATATGTCACAGTGTATATGTCACAGTGTATATGTCACAGTGAATATGTTAAATCAGTGATTTTGTAGAATCACTGAAAATTTCAGGGATTTTATATAATTCCTGATTCACTCGGGGTTTTCACAAAATCCCTGAAACTCACAATTTTTTTTACATATTTCCTGAAATGAATATATCGCATTCTCAGTGTTTGTTTTGACAATACTGCTTGTAAATATTGCATGTGTATACAGTAACCAAAGATACACAATATAAGGAAGTTAACAATACTCTGTAACTCTGCTCGTTGTGACAACAGTGTATGTGGGCTACTTCGTCATCTACCAACAACAATGATATATACTACCAGCTCAGAAAGTATGAAATCCTGGAATGTGGAGATGTCAAGAAGTTGATCCGTAGAAGAGAAGCAGGCGAAAATCCCATCTTCTTCGCTTCTATTGAAAATACTTTTGACATCATTCAGAGAGCCCATATTGCAACAGGTCATGGAGGCAGAGACAAGATGTAAACAAGAAGTACGCCAACAATACCCTGGAAGCTCTGTCCTGTCTCCACTAACAGCAAAAGAGAAAGAGGTCCATGACGAAAGGGGTTGTTGTAAAGCCAATTTTGTCTAAGACCTTTGCTTCTCGTGTACAGGTTGGCACAGGTAATGGACATTACTGACAGCGGCATGTACATACTTGCTGTTAAAGCCGGTGTCTTGTGTGGAAAGTATTCACGCAACCAGTTTGATGTGTGTGCCACATCTCTCTACACAATTGCAGATATGTCGACTGAGAAACTTGTATCGCTGAGATCTACAGTCCAGTCAGAGTCTGTATGTGGTTGACAGGGTTTTGTGAAATGTAACTGTAGTGGCACAAGAGGATGTCAGACACAAAGGTGCAAATGTTACAAGGCTCGGGTTATGTGTAACTCTCGATGTCCCTCTTCCCTCTCTTGCAAAGACAAATGTTGATACATATGAGTGATGTTTGACTGACGTGACTTTGTTTTAAAAAGATATCACAGAAGGTTCTCTGATCCATTGCATGATTATGGCAATTAAACACTGATGCAACATCTGATAGGGATGAATATTGTTTTAGTCGCTTACATGTTGAATTATTTGATATTTTTTATAACATATTTATGCAACTATTTTCATGTCAATGTAGAAAAATATTTTTTTTTTATTTTGACACGTTTTTGTCTTTATTTATTACAAGCAGTATTGTCCAAACAAACAATGAGAATGCGATATATTCATTTCAGGGAATATGTACAAAACTGTCATGATTTTCATGTTTTGTTAAATCTCTAGGAATTCCAGGGATTTTCTGAAACCACCGAGTGAATCAGGGATTTTATAAAATCCCTGAAATTTTCGGTGATTTTACAAAATCACTGATTTGACATATTCACTGTAACATATACACGTTGATGTGTATGTATGAACATCTGTGGCTGTCTCTGTACCACGGCGAGAATACTCAATTAGCCAGCGTCACGTGTATATTATAACACATTGGAAACCTAGTCCTCTGGATAATCGAGTGCATCCAGTGTTACGTGAACGTGTTGATAAATGTACATACTATGTATTTTATTTTTGAGCATTTGACATATATGTATACCATGACCAGATTCCATGGCCTCTATTAGCCCACATTCCCCGGTCCTGTCAGCCTGTGACGTGTGTGTTAGTGCATTGTTACAGCGTGTTACAGGCTAACTTAGATGCCGTGTTAAAATGCAATGTAGCCTGTAACTGCTTCAGTAAACCTCAATCTACATTCAGCCGTGGGCTGTAACTAGGAATGTTCATGATGATATTTGTAAGGTGTGACACCTGTAGACAGATCCAGTAATTAATTGTGTATGAGAACCTCCAGCTGGTGACAAATGAGAGAACACAACAGAGCTTGATGTCGTTTAATGGAACCTATGTCTATATGATATACAGAATATACATTGCCTAGTAAAGACATGTATAGTATATCTATAGATTGCTAAACGAGTCCCGTTAGGGTCGGTGTCCATAACGAATGTATTTCTAAGATAGCTAACGAGGGAAAACGAATCGGAATCATGCCGGGACTAGGATAGTGATACAACACTAGGTCCTACATCAATTTGATCATGACTTGTGTAGATTGTTGGACGAATGCCAGCCTGATGTTCAGGTTCCAGTATAAACTGTTGGGAACAGGTATATTCTGCGTTATGACCATGACAAATGAGTGATAAAAGTTTAACATACTGTGTAAAGTGAGTGAGTTTTATGCCGCTTTTAGCAATATTCCAGCAATATCACGGCGAGGGATACAAGGAAATGGACTCTACGAAATGTCCCGTGTGGGGATTTGAACCCGGGCTGCGTGACGAGCGAACGCTTTGACCACCCTATACCGCCGTTTAACAAAGACGTAGGATATTAACGGGGACAAATCATCCAGTGCATCCTGGCGAACAAGGAGACACGGGTTCTAATACCACTGAACTACATGTGTCACAGTAGCTAGATAGAAACATAAACTGTAGTTTTTAATCAAATGATTTTAATTATTCATTCTGTTCTTTTTTACAGTCCCGTTCCTAACGTCGTCGCGAGTGGGACTAGCTGTATTAGGATTCTTCGGCTTTATCAATGTCTATGCCCTGCGCGTCAACCTCGTCGCGCTTAGTGTCAGCATCGTCTGCATGGTCAACCAGACATGGATGAAGGAAAGCTTAAAGAACGACGCCAACGACAGCGCGTCGGTGTCGGAGTGCGCGTCTTACTCAGCTGTAGATCCTCAACGTCACGGGGTCGACGGCCCAGCGGGTTGGTAGTCCAGAGGTTACATAACGTACAGGGTTGTTTTGAAAGTCAGATGGGTACGGTGACCACAACTCGGGTTAAGTAGCTGAGGTCATTAGGTGGGTGACAGACCGAGATCCCAAAGCCCGATTCTTCATTGGGATAGGGGAAGTGACGTCGTTGGCAGCTTGCCCCGATTCACAGAGCTGGAGGATGAGATAGAACTGCCATATACAAAACCGTGTAGCAGGTAGCTTCGGTTGAAAATAAAATATTACCACTAATAGCACGAAGGTTTTATGTAGACTATTTTAGCTCAGTTTACTAGATAGAACGAAGTATGGCTGAGCTCGGGCTTGGTAATAGTGGCTCAGTGGCGGGAACAGGGACTACGACACACGGTCGTCAGGGTAATGCTGTAATGCGCTGGGTGATGTGTTATAAGGAGGCGTTATTCACTGTATGGAACTGTATGGTTCACCTGGATCATATGATCGTGGACAGATTGTTCCTGATCTTTGGTTCGTCACTACGAACATCCCCACGCACATGTCCTGCATACCTCTCCTGTCACAATAAAAACATACGTCCTGATACAGCCAAAGGTAACATGACTTTACAACCACTCTCTCACTATTCCAAGTCGGGTGCGCCCTGTGTACTTGTGGCCTAACGTATGTTCTCCTGTTTCAGGATGGCAAGTTGCTGTGGGACAAGCCCACCCAGGGCCTGGTGTTGGGCGCCTATTTCTGGGGATACCTTGTCTCCCAGATACCTGCAGGATGGCTGGCCACCAGGTTCGGGGGGAAGCATGTGTACGGCTGGTCAGTGTTTGTGTGCAGCATCCTCACCTTCCTAACCCCCATCGTAGCCACCACCAACTACATCGCTGTTATGGCACTCCGGATCCTGCTAGGTCTTGCCTCGGTAAGTCGGGACTAAGATTTGACTTCGGTATCTGTGACCTCATCACTCCATCACTGACAACGATGGGATGTAACCAAGTGTCACTTTCTATAAGGTCACCACTGCTGGTATCTAGTCAACAGCTCTGATAGATAAAGTAGGGACCAGAGCCCCGTTTCACAAAGCGATCATAGCACTAATAAGGTGATCGTAACTTCCATACTTTAACATAGACTTACCGCAGACAGTCGTAGCGCTACGATCGCTTTGTGAAACGGGCACCTATATATCAGAATGGCCCCTTTTGCTCTCTCTCGGTCAAAATTACAAACTTGCGAAACATGTTTAAATCGCTAGGAAAGATGTTTGTTGTATCTTCCACATAGCATATCTGTATGTATATCAGTGTAAGTAATGGTGCCATGCATTGTACTTTGGTTAGCGCTTTTGAATTTAAATTAGGAATATTTGACTGAAGTAGTTTCCTCATCAGTGTTGTTTTCCCTTTCAGGGTGCAGCGTTCCCTGCCATGCACACATTCTGGGGGCACTGGGCCCCTCCCCTAGAGAGGAGCAAGCTAACAGCATTCACATATGCAGGTGAGGGTCCTTGTCAAGTGAGCACACGTTCGCCAGGTTCCCGGGGTCGGTTATGATCCTTGGTCAGCAGTAGGATATGCGGAGTTGTGTGTGGAGGGATTTACGGAGAGGGATTTCTACAGAACTATTATAGACCAGGGCAGCGTGGCTTTTTAACATGCTTGAGTCTAGTAGCTTCTTGATGGCTTAATACGGCCTAAGGGAAACATACGACTGAATGACCAGCTTCGAGATAACTAACGTGTGTTATTTATTAATACTCTTATATGCTCTCCAGAATTATATTTTGAGATTCATTTGGATCACATATTTTGAAAACGGCTTCCATAAAAACCTATCAAAATGCATTAAACAACACCTGTTATAGCCCACCTTTGAATGAACCCCCAGTAAGTGATCTTTGCTAATACTTGACAACTTCTGTATAAACACTGACCACGTCGTGACCTCTCATCTTCCAGGTGCACAAGTTGGCAACGTGGTGACATTCCCCCTAGCTGGCTTCCTGTGTAAATATGGCTTTGCAGGGGATGGCCTTCCATATATTACGTTCTGGGTAAGTTGTGATGCCAGTGTGTAATAAATCTATAACATCCGTCATTGACAGTTGGTAATTCTGTATAGTCACTCTTGAAGTGTTCTCCTGTTGTTTGAAGGTTACCATATGTCTACTCGTGCAATATCCAATATCCACTCGAGGCAGTTGGTTTGACAGTCAAGGGTAGATATTATTGTCCTTTTGTATACATGTACATGGTTATTGATATAACAATCATGGTGAGTCGGATTTGTAGCTGTGCTGTGTTTGAACTTCATAAATGTTACTGGTTTTTCATACTTGATTTTATTCTGGTTAGTTTTATTTATTTGAATCAGGTTAGTGTCTTTGGCATAAAATCCGATGTCAAGTAGTATATAAGAGGAACGGTATATGGAATCACGTTGTGCTGTGTAAAAACCGGTATCAGTACTGGAGCGATGCAGTGACGAGCTTGACGGGCATGGCGGGCATGGATGACGAGACTGATTGATGATAGTACTTCGAACTGCCCATCTATAGAAGGAGGAGTCATCCAGTAACCACTAGGGGGTCTAGACAACAAGCAAATCTATAGTGAGATCCACAGTCGGGTACAATTGGGTACGATAAACCGATTGTGGCGATGATGTAGTGAGTGATATTATCGGCAGCAGCATTCTAATCAGAAGCACCGGTGTTGAGAAAACAGTGATCTTGATCTTGTTTTTGACCCATTGGTGACTGGTTTCTTTCACCATTTAGGCATTTACCATAACCACCTCGAAGATTTCATCAAACGGACATTTACCATAACAAACCTCGAAGGTTGGTTTCAGCATACAGACATTTACCATAACAAACATCGAAGCTTTCAACAACAGACATTTACCATAACAAACCTCGAAAGTTTCATCAACAGCAGACATTTACCATAACAAACTCGAAGGTTTCATCAAACAGACATTTACCATAACAAACATCGAAGCTTTCATCAAACATACATTTACCATAACCAACTCGAAGGTTTCATCAAACAGACATTTACCATAACAAACTCGAAGGTTTCATCAAACAGACATTTACCATAACAAACATCGAAGCTTTCATCAAACATACATTTACCATAACCAACTCGAAGGTTTCATCAAACAGACATTTACCATAACCAACCTCGAAGGTTTCATCAAACAGACATTTACCATAACGTCCTCAAAGGTTTCATCATACAGACATTTACCATAACCACCTCGAAGGTTTCATCAAACAGACATTTACCATAACCAACTCGAAGGTTTCATCAAACAGACATTTACCATAACCACCTCGACGATTTCATCAAACAGACATTTACCATAACCACCTCGACGATTTCATCAAACAGACATTTACCATAACCACCTCGACGATTTCATCAAACAGACATTTACCATAACCACCTCGACGATTTCATCAAACAGACATTTACCATAACAAACTCGAAGATTTCATCAAACAGACATTTACCATAACCAACCGGCGACAATTTCATCAAACAGACATTTACCATAACCACCTCGACGATTTCATCAAACAGACATTTACCATAACCAACCTCGAAAGATTTCATCAAACAGACATTTACCATAACCACCTCGACGATTTCATCAAACAGACATTTACCATAACCACCTCGACGATTTCATCAAACAGACATTTACCATAACAAACCTCGACGATTTCATCAAACAGACATTTACCATAACAACCTCGACGATTTCATCAAACAGACATTTACCATAACCACCTCGACGATTTCATCAAACAGACATTTACCATAACCACCTCGACGATTTCATCAAACAGACATTTACCATAACCACCTCGACGATTTCATCAAACAGACATTTACCATAACAAACCTCGACAATTTCATCAAACAGACATTTACCATAACAAACCTCGACAATTTCATCAAACAGACATTTACCATAACCACCTCGACGATTTCATCAAACAGACATTTACCATAACAAACCTCGACGATTTCATCAAACAGACATTTACCATAACAAACCTCGACGATTTCATCAAACAGACATTTACCATAACCACCTCGACGATTTCATCAAACAGACATTTACCATAACCACCTCGACGATTTCATCAAACAGACATTTACCATAACCACCTCGACGATTTCATCAAACAGACATTTACCATAACAAACCTCGACGATTTCATCAAACAGACATTTACCATAACAAACCTCGACCATAATTTCATCAAAACAGACATTTACCATAACCACCTCGACGATTTCATCAAACAGACATTTACCATAACAAACCTCGACGATTTCATTAAACAGACATTTACCATAACCACCTCGACGATTTCATCAAACAGACATTTACCATAACAAACTTCGAAGCTTTCACCAAACATACATTTACCATAACCAACTCGAAGGTTTCATCAAACAGACATTTACCATACATTTTCACCATAACCACCTCGAAGTTTCATCAAACAGACATTTACCATAACCACCTCGAAGATTTCATCAAACAGACATTTACCATAACAAACCTCGAGTTTCCATAACCACCTCGACGATTTCATCAAACAGACATTTCCATAACCACCTCGACGATTTCATCAAACAGACATTTACCATAACAAACCTCGAAGGTTTCACCAAACATACATTTACCATAACAAACTCGAAGGTTTCATCAAACAGACATTTACCATAACAAACCTCGAAGCTTTCACAAACATACATTTACCATAACCAACTCGAAGGTTTCATCAAACAGACATTTACCATAACAAACATCGAAGCTTTCACCAAACATCGAAGGATTCACCAAACAGACATTTACCATAACAAACATCGAAGGTTTCATCAAACAGACATTTACCATAACCAACTCGAAGGTTTCATCAAACAGACATTTACCATAACAAACCTCGAAGCTTTCACCAAACATACATTTACCATAACTAACTCGAAGGTTTCATCAAACAGACATTTACCATAACCAACTCGAAGGTTTCATCATCCCAACATTTACCAAAACAAACTCGAAGTTATTATCTTGTCATAGAGGTTTGTAGCGCCTTTTAGCAATGTTACTCACAATCAGTATTGACACTGCAGGTGCCCTGTCCTTGGTGTGGTTCATCTTGTGGACGCTCCTTGTGAGCGACACCCCGGCCCAGCATAAACGGATATCGGAGAACGAGAGACGCTACATTCAGTACACCCTTCGTCATAGCGCCAGATCACACAAGGTGAGGAGGTCCTCATGATATTTACGGGACTATTGAGTATTAAGATCCGTGATTGGTGTACCGGCCATTGATGAACAGAACCCCGCTTGTCATGAAATTTGGGTCTCTTATCTTTCCACCTATAGCGGTATTTGATGTGTCATACTGTGCACATATACAAACAAGGCAAATGTGTACCCACCTCCGATGGCTTTGTCAAACACATCTCTTTATCTCACGCCCCTGAGGCAAGACCTGTCCACAGTATAGTTAAAACAGCGTCTCACGTTGCCAAGACAACACCTGTCCACAGTATGGTTAAAGCAGCGTCTCACGCTGCCAAGACAACACCTGTCCACTGTATAGTTAAAGCAGCGTCTCACGTTGCCAAGACAACACCTGTCCACACTCAGGTTTAAGCAGCGTCTCACGTTGCCAAAGACAACACCTGTCCACAGTATGGTTAAAGCAGCGTCTCAAGTTAAAACAGCCAACGAAGACAACACCTGTCCACAGTATAGTTAAAACAGCGTCTCACGCTGCCAAGACAACGCCTGTCCACAGTATAGTTAAAACAGTGTCTCACGTTGCCAAGACAACACCTGTCCACAGTATGGTTAAAGCAGCGTCTCACGTTGCCAAGAAAACACCTGTCCACAGTATAGTTAAAACAGCGTCTCACGCTGCCAAGACAACACCTGTCCACAGTATAGTTAAAACAGTGTCTCACGTTGCCAAGACAACACCTGTCCACAGTATAGTTAAAGCAGCGTCTCACGCTGCCAAGACAACACTTGTCCACAGTATAGTTAAAGCAGCGTCTCACGCTGCCAAGACAACACCTGTCCACAGTATAGTTAAAGCAGCGTCTCACGTTGCCAAGACAACACCTGTCCACACTTTAGTTAAAACAGCGTCTCACGTTGCCAAGACAACACCTGTCCATGCTTACGTTAAACCAGAATGTAATAAATCAGTCATTGTTTTTTCAGAAGATAAATGTTCCCTGGAAGAGCATAGCGCTGTCACTACCATCCTACGCCATCATCGTCAGCAACATCACCTCTGACTGGGGAGCCTACACCTCTCCTCACCAACATCCCCACATACATGAGCGAGGTCCTCAAGTTCGACATTGCTTCTGTGAGTGGAAATAATTACATGCCTCTCGTGTGTGTGTGTGTGTGTGTGCGTGCGTGCGAGCGTGCATGTGAATTAGATTTTATTCGTCGCTGCAGTATTTCACCTTTCCATAACCAGCATCCTGACCAACTCGTGTTATTCCGGGTAAAGTCGAATGGCAACTCGGTCCCCTATTGCCGCCGTTTGTGCGACTGGGTTCCGTCTAAGCGCAAACGGGCTAATAGAAACTCGTGCCTAATGATTAACATATATTTACATATATATTATACATTGCAGATGATATTTGAAACTCGCCGGGATCGATTTATGATCGAACACAGATAACTTATTGTTGGGAATATTTGAATGCATCCTGATGAAGTTGGTTTAGTCCCTGAAATGTAGATTTTCGGTGCCAGATGTATTCCGGTTGATGGCATCCTGCGGCCGCTCGCATCAATGATCACAGAATATTTTACGCAACTATAAACCTCAAAATTATCAAAATGCACGTCAACATATTTTAATGTTTAGCTGTTAATATGAAATGTTGTTTGGGAATAACTACCAGTTGCACAGGTGACCTGTTATTGTTGTTGTTGTTGTCATTACTGTTTATATTCATCTGTTACAGTCTATTTTGTCTCTTCTCCAATAATACTGACGTATTTATACAGACAGTTGCATCTCTATTGACCTGAACAGATGTGACGAGTCTTTTTATCAGTGCTTTACAATTCCGGAAAATTAACACCAATGTGAGCACCTGGCCTCAGCTGCTTGTATTTGAATATCATTGTTGTACACAATGTTCCACATTACAGCAGACCGGCTGTCATCAGTACATATCCCGCTTGTTATAACAATGACTATATATATGTTGATCAATAACGTCATCAACGCCGAAACTAAGTTAGCGTTGATTGACGTTTTGCGATTTCAGAATCCTTATTAGAAAGATTTTCTGGTCCGAAAGTTTGTGCAGATGTGTTTCTTATGTGCTAACAAGGGGGTGGTGGGTTAGCCAAGTGGTTAGTTACATCGTTCGCAGGGCACGCCGAAGGCCCGGGTTTGATGACACACATGGCCACAACGTACGAAGCTCACTTCTGGTGTCCCCGCTGTAATAATGCTGATATTGCTAAAACCCGACTCACTCAATTCAGGAGATGCAATACTTTAGCAACAGCTGTATAAGTTATCGGTCTCCCCCCTTTCAAGATGACTCCGGATCACATGTTTGCTTCCTTGGTTAAATTACAATTGTGACGTCATTTCATTGTCTGCTCGCTCCATTACTTTTCAGGAATGGAGCGATGGGTCTGAAGTTTTAGACTTCATTTTGTCGTTTTGACATTTAATTTTGATAACAGAAATTTTACCAATACTTTGAATGTAATTTAGGTACGGTAATATCCTCGTAACTCTCCATTCCTTAAAAATAAAGGGCCTGGGCGCCATTTTGTTAAGGAACGGAGAGTTACCTCGGATATTACCCTCTACTGAAGATTGTACAATGCAAGTTATGATATATACCATGCCAAATTATTCCAGTTATAGTAGTAAGCATACACAGTGGACGGGGATAACAGTGAGACAAGTCTGTCTTGACTTTAACTCCCTGGTGTGGTGACGGCCCGGAAGACTTCATGTGCTTCAATCCGGAAAAGGCCAGCTGTGACGGCAGACGTCTCAAGGAACACAATGTCTTCCTGTTAATAGAAAATTAAATCCTCTTTCACCCTGGCTCAATCTAAACTTTTCAGTGACTTAGAAAAACGAAGAAACCCATTTGTGACAGCGCCCATATGTTCGACGGGTGTGTTCCGATTGTCTCACCTCGCATCTTTCCGTCAGTTACAGGTTCATAAATATAGAAGTGAGACTGTTTGATCTTCGTTCCTGGGTGCAGATCAAAAGACAACAGTCACACACTTGCAAGGGGCATGTGCAGTTTAATTGCCCTATATCAGAGCGTGTGGAGAGTTGTATATAGTTCCCTTCAAGGTACAATAAATAAAATACATAATGAAAATACATTCGCTGGACATAGATGCCCTTTAGAGAAGTCATGTTAAGTAGTGGCCCAGATCCTGAAAAAGATGGCTCGAAACACTTTATCTACAGATAATCGGGGGACTGTTTTGTTATACAGATATTCGACCCGTTCCACCCGTTTCTAGGAGACAAATACCATCATCCTGCGTCTCTTCTGGACTGTCTCCTCCGCCGACACATTGTGATTTATCTGAAACACAAAAGGCGTTAAATCAAAACTAAATTAAAAATGTAAGTTTAATCATAATGCAAGTCAACGATTTATCGTTTTTACCTCTTTGTTGTCAGCGAGCAGGTATTTGACACTCTGAACGCGACTGTTGATGCACCCGCTGCCCAGCAAGGACGTTCCTCCTCTTGTAACGTCTATGTCGGATGCTGCATCAATGTGATGATGATTTGATCGTCACACAGACATGTTGTTCAACTCCAACAGACGGAGAAAACATTAAGTGCACCACATGGTGCGTCACGTAATATGACCTGCCTTTGAAGTGTAGTTCTTCCCCACGTAGCTGCCAATGTCGACAGGCTGAGTGATTGTGTCGCACCCATAACACGTCATAAACCTTTCAATTAAATACAACTATCAGTCAAACTGGGTGAATGTCATCTATCTGAAAACATGGAGTATAACTTGGGGCCCCTGTCAAAGTTGTTGCTGTCTGTTGCGTCAGCCTTGATAGCGACCAGCTAATGCCCAGTTGTGTACACCTGAGTTGAATAACGCTGTCGCCACACTTCAGCAGTCGTGCATTCAGTGGGCGTCATTCAGTGTACAAGGACGCGGCAGTGAATAGAGACAGCTGTCGGCGTCACCTGACTGAATATGTTGTTATCTTCTTCAGCAATATTCCAGTCGTAACTCAGCACGGGGTGGCTATGATGTTGAACACACTTTATGTATTTAACTGACATTTACTTCCAGAATGATTTTTTATGTATTTGAATATATATCTACAAACTAGAAGTTCAATCCAAATAGAGAATGAAACAATCCTTAATTGCCGAATATTGGATCTGCCACCATGTATATATACATGATATAACTACCAATAACGTTTACAGTTAGATGCTGTTTCTTCACATCATAACCTGGACCCTTTCCCCGAGGCAGCTGCCACCATGTATATACATGATATAACTACCAATAACGTTTACAGTTAGATGCTGTTTCTTCACATCATAACCTGAACCCTTTCCTCGAGGCAGCTGCCACCATGTATATACATGATATAACTACCAATAACGTTTACAGTTAGATGCTGTTTCTTCACATCATAACCTGGACCCTTTCCCCGAGGCAGCTGCCACCATGTATATACATGATATAACTACCAATAACGTTTACAGTTAGATGCTGTTTCTTCACATCATAACCTGGACCCTTTCCTCGAGGCAGCTGCCACCATGTATATACATGATATAACTACCAATAACATGTTTACAGTTAGATGCTGTTTCTTCACATCATAACCTGGACCCTTTCCCCGAGGCAGCTGCCAGTATATACATGATATAACTACCAATAACATGTTTACAGTTAGATGCTGTTTCTTCACATCATAACCTGGACCCTTTCCCCGATATAACTACCAATAACAGGTTTACAGTTAGATGATGTTTCTTCACATCATAACCTGGACCCTTTCCTCGAGGCAGCTGCCACCATGTATATACATGATATAACTACCAATAACAGGTTTACAGTTAGATGATGTTTCTTCACATCATAACCTGGACCCTTTCCTCGAGGCAGCTGCCACCATGTATATACATGATATAACTACCAATAACAGGTTTTCAGTTAGACGATGTTTCTTCACATCATAACCTGGACCCTTTCCTCGAGGCAGCTGCCACCATGTATATACATGATATAACTACCACTAACAGGTTTACAGTTAGATGATGTTTCTTCACATCATAACCTGGACCCTTTCCTCGAGGCAGCTGCCACCATGTATATACATGATATAACTACCAATAACAGGTTTACAGTTAGATGATGTTTCTTCACATCATAACCTGGACCCTTCTCCTCGAGGCAGCTGCCACCATGTATATACATGATATAACTACCACTAGTATGTTTACAGTTAGATGATGTTTCTTCACATCATAACCTGGACCCTTTCCTCGAGGCAGCTGCCACCATGTATATACATGATATAACTACCAACAGGTTTACAGTTAGATGATGTTTCTTCACATCATAACCTGGACCCTTTCCCCGAGGCTGCTGCCACCATGTATATACATGATATAACTACCAATAACAGGTTTACAGTTAGATGATGTTTCTTCACATCATAACCTGGACCCTTTCTCCGAGGCAGCTGCCACCACCCCTCATTGTATTCTTTGCTAATCGCTAACTGTGCCCAGGTCGTTCAAACAGTACTTGTTGGTTACATAGTCAAGTGGTTCAAGCGATCGCATGTCCCACGAAGGATTGGGTTTGACTCCATACATAGATACAGTACGTGAAGTCCATTTCTGGTGTCCAAAGCCGTAATGGTGATGTTGGGGGTGGGCGCACTACAAATTGGCTTCCGGTCGTAGGTACAGATTGTTCTCATGCAGGGGCTAAAACATGGGTCTTGAATCGCTAGACTATTTCCTCGCGAATATTGACAGCTGTTGATTGTTTCAGAACGGTCTGTACTCCGCTCTCCCCTACATTGTGTTCTGGGCGATGATCAACTTGTCTGGTTGGATGGCTGACTTCGTCAGGAGACGGAGCATCTTCACAACCACCAACACCAGGAAAATATTTGACTCTTTCGGTGAGTGGTTCCAGCGTCTCTTTCACAATCCCAAAGCTTGGGCCGTCGTTTGTCAATGAGAGAACATTCATCCCATGCATCATATACTCGAATAACATACCCGTCGTAGATGTTTCACAAGTTAAGGTTTATGTGGGTTTCACCTCCCACGCTTGTCGTAATGGGTGATTAACGGGATCGGGTGGTCAGGGTCGCTGACATGGTTGACACATGTCATCGTATCCCAATACCTAGCTCGATGTTCATGATGATGATTGTCTGGTCAAGACTGGATTATTTACAGACCGCCGCCATAGAGCTGGGATATTGCTGACTGCGGCGTAAAATAACAAACAAAACATCATACACGGAAGTTACTTGTAGCGTACCTCCTCACGTATGTTACATAGTATTAAATAGTAGTACATGGTAGTACATGGTATTACACGTATTTCTCCCCTGCTAAACAGGTAAGTTGGTCCCGGCAGCGATGTTGGTCGGCTTGGGGTATGTCGACTGTTCCCAGCGGCCGTTGGCCATCACCCTGCTGGTTCTGGGTGTCTCCCTCACCGGCTTCCAGTTCTCCGGCTTCATCGTCAACCACGTCGACATCGCCCCCGCATACGCCGGCATCCTCTTCGGCATCTCCAACTCCATAGCTGCCGTCACGGGGTTCATCTCACCCGTCGTTGTTGGAGTCATTACATCTGAGGTACGTGACTTCTTGTTGTTGGTGTCATTACATCTGAGGTACGTGACTTCTTGTTGTTGGTGGAACTAGTATATAACCACTGCAGGTGCTCGTTGTTGTTGTTGTTGGTGGAACTAGTATATAACCATTGCAGGTGCTCGTTGTTGTTGTTGGTGGAACTAGTATATAACCACTGCAGGTGCTCGTTGTTGTTGTTGTTGGTGGAACTAGTATATAACCACTGCAGGTGCTCGTTGTTGTTGTTGTTGGTGGAACTAGTATATAACCACTGCAGGTGCTCGTGGAACTAGTATATAACCACTGCAGGTGCTCGTTGTTGTTGTTGGTGGTGGAACTAGTTGTTGTTGTTGTTGTTGTGGAACTAGTATATAACCACTGCAGGTGCTCGTTGTTGTTGTTGGTGGTGGAACTAGTATATAACCACTGCAGGTGCTCGTTGTTGTTGTTGTTGGTGGAACTAGTATATAACCACTGCAGGTGCTCGTTGTTGTTGTTGGTGGTGGAACTAGTATATAACCATTGCAGGTGCTCGTTGTTGTTGTTGTTGGTGGTGGAACTAGTATATAACCACTGCAGGTGCTCGTTGTTGTTGTTGTTGGTGGAACTAGTATATAACCACTGCAGGTGCTCGTTGTTGTTGTTTTGGTTGGAACTAGTATATAACCATTGCAGGTGCTCGTTGTTGTTGTTGGTGGAACTAGTATATAACCACTGCAGGTGCTTGTTGTTGTTGTTGTTGGTGGAACTAGTATATAACCACTGCAGGTGCTCGTTGTTGTTGTTGGTGGTGGAACTAGTATATAACCACTGCAGGTGCTCGTTGTTGTTGTTATTGTTGGTAATGATGGAGATAATCCAGCCATGTACCAAAGAATGACTTCTATGTATGTGACAGTTTGTTAAATGATGGGTTTATTTATCGTTGAACTTGGTATCGGGGTATTCAGTATGTCATCGTGACCAGACAGGGCTGATCGTGGCTCATATTGTCGGTCACTGATTTTCCGGATCCAGACTATACCGGTCACCGTGACATAGCTTGTGTATGCCAACCATAGTGTTTAACAATGTTCACTATTTCATCGTGACTTAAATATTTCTCGTTGCAGAGTCAGACGCGGGCAGAGTGGCAAGTTGTTTTCTACATTGCGGCAGCCATGTACGCCTTCGGCGCCATCTTCTATGTCCTGTTTGCATCCGGGGAACTACAACCATGGGCCTGCGAGGAAAGAGAAGAGGGGGAGGAGATGGGGGAGAAGATGGGTGTGGAGATGGAGACGAGGGGGGCTGGTAGAGAAGGGGAGACTGATGGCATGTTAGCCGACAACAAATATTGATAATGGAAAAGTGTAGGTAAAATCACATTTTATAAGAACAGTGTTCTCCTCTCGATGGGATACGTAAGGTATTTGTCAGTACATGTACAGATTGTACTTAATCTGATTGTGCACTTTGTTTGAACTAAGAGATATAGCACTATAATGTGAAAACTACAGTCTGGCGTTATGCACGTGGGTGTGAGGGGTGTCATGATGCCCATAACTGTTTAGAGGGGGCGCTGCTTAGTAAGCTAAATGCCTTCTCTTCTGTCTCCACAAAGGTTTTATCACAAAATGGTGAATAGTATGATAGGAAAGAGCCTAAATTACATCAAATTTTTCATATTCTATAGATACAAGAGCGGGGATTTGTCTGGAGACCGTATGTTCTGTTTTATCCCTATCCGTGTCAAAATAACATGATTGGTTTTGTAAGACAAGATGTACTCGTTTTACTAACCATGCGTAATCTCGCTCTTTGGTGGTTGATAGCCGTGTGAATGAATATTTATTCCTTTGTCAATGTATCGTCTGTTGTCACCTGACAAGACAGACTTTCCACAGATTGCCAGAAACTTCAATCACAAGTGAAACCTTCCCCTCAGTGTGTTTGTTACATCTCAGATATATGCAATCTAGGTTACCGAATGACTGGGAGTAATGATTTGCCTTTATTGATTTAGTGTTCAATTAAACACCAGTCCTGTTTGTAAACAAGGACCTGGGTTCAGATGTATACTTACAGTGACCGTACAAGCATGGAGACGTCTAAATGTATTATTACCATGGTAACATAAACAGTATATTGTTACCATGGTGAATTTCCTTATTATTATAAGTTGTTTCAAGACTGCCTCTGTTATTGTTGATAAAACTGTATTCCTTTCGTGACATAGTATTTGAGTAATTATCGTAACTAAGATGTAGTAATCACTTATTATATGATCAATTTAGAATCATTATTTTCAACAGAGGTATTATGTTTCACTGAAAACGTTACGGCTCCAGACATCTGCAGTGTTGTGCAGTGTAAATAATCAGGTCTGGACCAGACAACCCAGTGATCAACAGCATGAGCATCAGTCTACGCGATCCCGTTAGTGGCCTCTTACGACAAGCATGGCTTGCTGAAGACCAATTCTCACCCGGATCTTCACGGGTAGTCGCTATATGAACGCATGTACGTAGTTTTGTCAGACTAAGTGAAGCCTGAGATACAGTTATTTGTGATTGACCAGAGAGTGACTCTGGATCAGTCAAATGCAAGAGATCACTGTTTCACACCTCTACTCTGACTTCTCCATTATCATCAGATGAAAACGCTTTTAGTTCAGTTTTAGTCTAGTCCTGGACAGCCTCATGCGATGTAAACTAATTTAATCACGGTGAGATGTGACGTGACTTTAGGATTAGTGTGTAGTGGCCATCGTTATATTGCTTCGCGATCCGCTGTGAAGAGGTGATGGTAATGCTGCTTTATTCTATGTAGTCGTGGTTGTTGTTGACGCCGCACTCAGCAGTACCCCTGGCATATGGCGGCGGTCTGCAAAACATCTAGTCTGGACCAGACAGTCCGGTGCTTGGCACAAGGCGTATGGATCCTTCGCTACTTGGACACTTGCTGAGTTCGCGAGAATAACCACCCCGGTCCAGTCACCCCCATGTTGTGACAAGCACTCGTGCTGCAGGTCTAATTCCTGGATCTTCATTTAGTAGTAGCATTGTTTCTGGCCACCCGCCCATCATATTCACCCATTATCATGTGTCTTGTATTGCTGACATAGTATTTTCAATAAGCCAAAATAGATATAGATATGCCTATGACTAACTGACAATCAATATGTACTGTGTTGTCGGCAAATGCGCCTAGTCCGTTGGTACTGTCAGGAAATGCGCCTAGTTCGTTAGTACTGTCAGGAAATGCGCCTAGTCCGTTGGTACTGTCAGGAAATGGGCCTAGTCCGTTAGTACTGTCAGGAAATGAGCCTAGTCAGTTAGGTATCGCCCTTCTACTGGGATGCCCGTTATCCGGATATATGTTAAGCGTGTGCAAAACTATTTTGGCACCCCCGCGTTCAGCAGTATTCCAGGTATATCACTGCGGAGGGAATGGACTTCACACATCGTTCCAAAGAGCGTCGAACTGGGCTCTGTTTCAAACTAGAGCTTTCACCACAAGGCCAAACTGCCGCCCCAAATGAAGTGTGGATCTTGATGAGTATTCACTGTTTTGTATAGAGGATTGTCTCAGGGGTTAATACATCAATACGAGCGATACTGGTACTTCTCCCTTTCACTGCTTGGTGGGGTAGCCCAAAGGGTAGTGCGTAGATCTGTCTTACTAGACCAAAGTTCGATCCCATCATCAGTCCATCCATCTCCCAAGACTAGGGAGAGCGGCGAAGCTGCTCTTTCAGATATGTTTGTTTTTTTATCGAGAGTCTAGGCGAAGTATTGGAGTTTATAACACAGACTACAGCGTTGTGGGGAGAATCCTCCAAGATAATTATGACAAGAAGATAAAGGGCTTGATAAATCGTGATGGTTGGTGGTCTGTAGTGTGTATTGTGTTCTGAATAGAGATAAAAGTCAATAAAACCGTATTTTGTGTACACCTAGCTGTCTGTTTCCTTACATGGACATATACATACGTCACACGGCTCTGGGTTCTCTAGTCCAGTCAGAGTTCCGAAACAGTAACACAGTAGAAATATTGTCGTGGTTAATAGTGAATACACAATGCCATTTAGAAAGTGGTCAAATGTAACACGTTATATTTGGGATTACAGTTTCTCATTGAAGTACAGAATCTAGTACTTTTGTTGAGTTGAGTCCCATTCGGGATTCGAACCCACACTTTCAGAGTCAGGCACCTAATCACCAGCACACAGACTCAGCCGTCTAACCCACTCAGCCATCGCACTTCCACAAAGATGGAAGTCGGACAACTGGTGGTCTAGACCACGGTCTACATGTGTCAGTAACAACTTCACTCGGTGTTCTGGTGGTGGGTGTTCAAAGTGACCGTGTATGGTCTGTTGGCCTTGGGCGCAACGGACTGCTGCCTTGTCATCAAGAACCTTCACCCGAAGGTGCTCATTCCAGCAGCCATGCTGTCAGATATAATGGGATTGAACCTTCTTTAGCCTTTGTTAATAGGTGGGTAGCGTAGTTGGTCAGAGAGACCTTTATGACTGAGTTTTAGGTTTGTGCTTCACCATTAAAGAAGCATTCCACACCAGTGGGATCCAGGCACACGAGCATCGCAACTAGCTTCTCAACGCCATTATCATCCGCTTGATGTGGGAGTTTTTCAGTTCTACCAGGAAACCTCACACTGACACAGGTGTTAGGTATTTACCACTTATCGAGCACCAGCTCCAGCACGGGGATTTTTAAAATTAATAAAATCCCAAGGATCATTATCAAGACTAACCTGAGGTTCGAACCCACGATTACCGGTCCCCAGTATTCAGGATGGACCCACTCAGCATGGTACAGACGACTGAATAGCGATACGGGTGGGTTTTACGATACGGTTGGCCCGCTAGCCCGTAGCTAGTAAAGATCCAGTCGGACCAGTAAATCTCTTCGACTGGCTAGTGAATTTTCATGGGGTCATTTTGTAAATATATCACTCTGCTACTTGTTAAGTTACAATACACTTTTAAATAATGCAGGATTATGGCCCGATAAACATGTTCATCATATCAACAGCTTCATGCTGAAACCAAGTGTCCACATTCAAATTTCTGGCTAGTGAATTATTTTGTGGGCCAGTAACTTTCAGACATAGCTAGCCCGACAGGCTAGCAACATTTGGAAACTATTTCGCACACTATATCGTCAACATTTCACTTCTCTGCATGTGAGGGAAGACTTGATGGTTGATTGAGTGTCTCAGTACACCGGCAGCCTGATATCAATTACACGTTTCAGGTTCTCACTCGATTGTGCTCGACATTGTGCTGAGCGCTACTTCCAAGGACAAACAATGAAATAGGACAACAGTTATATGAAGTTTATGTACCATTAGTTGGTATCTATTTGTAGCAGAAGAAGCTGGCCCCAGCTCCCATGGTGCCCCCGACAATAATCATCGCAAACCCGACGCCGGCCATCGTCCCTGCAACATGCGAGTGATACATGGTGAACGTGACGGTCCATCCCTACATTGATGTTGTGTGTTAGTGATAGCGAACTCATTTAACCAGAACTGTTTTTGGTAAAGAAGATATCGTTGACACCGCTTTTTCAGCGAGTTATCGCCCAAATTGGATGTTCTCCAGCGAATAACGCTGAGATGACTTCAGCTGCCCAGGATATAGTTGCTGGTTCTATTTCACCAAAACACCTACACTTAACGAATACTTATAATATACACTTGATACTGTAAATCCGGCATAATTCCGTGTCTTGTGTATACAACACAAACGTATCCTTACATTCTGTTGACGGGCCACCAGGATTTTCAAACATTTTACAGTGGGCTGTGTCGACAGAGTTGTCTCCCTTTATTGTGAATGTCTCGTTCATGACTGCAGCTTGTTCATGCTTATGTTTTCGTCACCACTCGTATCTTTCCGTAACATACATAACATCCCCACAACGATATATATGATGACCATAGATGGATTAAATATGATCTTGTCCCTTTCTATGTCGTCTTCATCCCGAAAGTATGTACATCTATGCAAAATGTAATACTTGTCTACAGATTGTACAGGAGTAACTTTGTTTAGGTACCTACCTGGTCCAAAGCCAATGATTCCTGGTTTACCGAACTGGTGTTTCTCGTAGTCCATTTCCGTCAGGCTGCTGGACATGACGGTGATGCTTGGAGCCTGCGGGCAACAGGTCATGACTTTAACGTCGTGTTATAATTGCACTTAGAAGGAGCGAGTGAGTGAGCATGGTTTCACGTCGCTTTTAGCAATATTCCAGCAATATCACACCGGGGGACACCAGAAATGGTCTCACACATTGTACCAATGTGGGGAATCGAACCCGGGTCTTCGGCGTGACGAGCGAACGCTTTAACCACTAGGCTACCCCACCGCCCCAACAGCGCTATGGGAGTGTGGACTAGGACACAGCTGACCCACAGTAGGGTCACAACAAGTAAACTCTTCACTTTTCAGTTACAGCTGCAAACAGTTACAGCTGCAAAACCAGATTTTGTGATATCTATGATTTTGAGCCAGACTATATTTTTGCATAAAACATCATCTTGCATTAGTGTATTTTGAGGCTATATATTCCAACAGTCTAAAGCCTTTTTCGTGAAGAATCTTGCTTCGATTTTGGAAAACAATCCACAAGAATAACAAATGGTAGGTCCCTGTTTGCGAACACCGGGTGTCATCCCTCATCGTCAATGAATCACGGCTGTTTCGCCCCGGCGCCCAATGGAATCAGTTTCGTGGGATAACCGAGACTGGTTATTCTCAGACTGAAGATGTACAAACGTCGTCTCGTCGCTGTATGGCGGAAATACGCCCGATGTTCATTTTTCTATGGCGTTTACGTTCTAAGCTTTATATACTTTAGGCCTGTTTGACGTTGGCGTCTACCCACCTGACCGGAGCCGACGAGATAGTCGTTCCAAACGATGGTGAAAGTCCCCCCTTGAACAGAGTTGATGAAGGTGTTAGCAGCGTCAGTCAGAGACACCTGAGGGGCGATGTTGGGGTTGTCGCCGACAACAGGAGCTACGTCCAACATCTCAAATGTGACGTGCACATCCTCGTCAAGGTCAACCTGAAATGTCTTCACATCTTAAACATCGTGATGTATCTTGCGTACAACTTTGTTTTACACAGTATTCTACTAATGTCTTACTTATCTTAGTGTCAGTTGAACATACATTTTGTTCGACACGAAAGTGCTTCCAGAGTATGATATTTGGTCTCCCAGCACCACCTGGTGCGGAAGGGTTTCTTTAAGTGGCCGACGTTTAAGACCTGCGCACTTTGGGCGTTTTCATCCGTGATTTCGTTATTTCGTTGAGAAGCTATATAATACATGTATATATTATGGAAATATGGGACACATATCCTTACTTACATTTTATTACTTAATTATTTATGACCGTTCATCTAATACGCCTTTAAATGAAATGAGAGGTTTCCAACTACTTTCAAACAAGCTACTAGCAAAGTGTTTGCTATATCCGCCATGCTTCGGGAAGGTATTCTCCATACCATCTAAAACCGTTATAAAGTCATAATATGCCACGGCTGAGATGTATTCTTCACCTTAATGTTGGCGACCCTAAGGGAGGAGATGTCGCACATGCTGACGATGGTAGACATGACGGAGTACTTGAAGAGTTCCATGTTGTCGGAGATGAACTGCTCGAACTGACCTGTGGTTAGAGAGTGGGATACAATAAACTACATAGTTTGCTGTGCTGTAGGGAGCTGGTCGAATCCATGTCTAGGATTACAATCCTTGGTCAGTCTGCACCAGACCACTGCTCATGGGTGACCTTGACCTTCCTCCAACATTGACGTGATACGCGGTGACCTGCCTGAAATACTGCCCACTAAGTACTCTGTTTATATGTTTGTTATAGGGTGGGCGTGGTGACTGTGGAAAACACGTGGATCACAAAGTATAGAGCTCTCTTTTGTTTGATTAAACTCAGTGCCGCACTCTACATGCTGGAGCTATATCACCGAGGCAGGTAAATAGTCTACCTTGGATCAGAAAATCCAGTGATCAGTACTGTAAGCAACTAGAAGACACTATAGTTGTTAAGGAAATAATATACTTTTCTCCAACGACGGATGCCAATTCTGTTGTTGTTCCCAGACGTGGAACTGTTTAGTGTCAATGCCAAGCATACGGTTTCAGCAATGTGCAGGACTAAACAGACATTTTAACATTTTAATCATGACCCTGCATACCTATGTTGGGTATCGAACACGGGCTTCTGCCTAAAGACATCATACACTTCCCACTGTGCGACCCCGGCTACGTGTACATATCCTCGTCGTCAACGTCCCCTCGACGTTGCTGAATGTTTGCTGAAGTTGCAAGAAAACTCACCGTCAACGGAGAAGTGGAACATCCGCCTGTTGTCATTGACGTAGCATGGGCTGATGTCGTACTTGAGGACGTTGGGTACTGATCGGTCGAAGTCGAACACGTTGAAGTTGTAGATGGGAACATTCTACAAAAATAGCTTTAAATTTATCTCGGGTTTCCTCACAGTACGATACTGGTCACTTCCCCCGGTTAACTCTACTTCGTATACAATTGCCTCAAACCCTTCAGCAAACTGAAACTGGTTTTAGATTTATAATTTATCCCATCAGCAATTGCATTGCTACAAATACATTTTATAAACTTAGACATTTACAAAAAGCGTTTTCAAATAATAAGATATCCATACATATGACCCAGTCTGTTGTAGTATTGTAGCAAACGTGTCACCTTTCCTGATGGGTCGGGAGACCAGGCCCGCATTGCGACTGGAACACCCTCTCCTGGAAACACCGCACCTACGTCATTCCACGTTGTCCAGTTTTTCTGGAGAAGACGAACAGAATGACCAGTTTTAGTTGAACATAACACAAAGTAGAATCTACGAATGAATGACATATTATACTCGTGACGATTATTTTTGGCCTGGTTCATTGAATCCGGAAGTTCGAGGGAAAGACTCCCGAGCTTGGCCCTGGTGCACAAAGCGATCGCAGTGGTACGACTGTCATAAACATAGGTTAAAGTACTGGGAGCCATCACCACCGTAGTGCCAGGATTGCTTAGTGCAACTGGTGCTATGTGAACAGGTGATGACTAGGGTACAGTGTATACTGATGATAGGTCTTTGAAGACATACAGCCGTGAGTCAAAGATATAGATATATTATTTACTCCAGGAGAAGCAATATATCTGTATGGAGAGTGCAACTCTTCGACTACTGCATGTGGAGTGAGTGAGTGAGTATGGTTTTACGCGGCGTTTAGCAATATTCCAGCAATATCACGGCGGGGGACACCAGAAGTGGGCTCCACACATTGTACCCATGTGGGAAATCAAACCCGGGTCTTCAGCGTGACGAGCGGACGCTTCAATCATTAGGCTACCCCACCACCCCACTGCATATGGAGCGTGTAACTTGTATTTTAGGAGTTATATGACCGGGTGTTGTCTTACTGTGGACGGACAACACCTGAGATAGGTCGTAGACCACTTCCCTGATCCGACTTCGGTCTCATGCAACCGAGGATCACAAACCGTACGACTCTGAGTCTGTAGACCATGCCTGGTGGCACCTGTCATAGCAACAACCTTCAGCTTTAGTACATATTCCTTATCCATGGTTTACTTACAGTAAGGAAATACCATTCGACAGTAATGTTGTCACTGACGCTGCCGCCGAAGCCAGCCTGTTCGTGGTAGCCTGTCCACGTATCGCACATCACTCCCCGGATATTCCTCTGGAATAGTGAAGGGTTACTAGTATTAGGAGCTGTTGTTTCACGTTATATCGAGGAAGTCAAGGATAGGATAATCACAAATAAATCTTGATTTCAGTGGAACTCATCCCTGTCCTACAGAGTCCGAGGCAGTGCCCACAACAGTGATCCTTTCAGTGATCTGTCACAACCTGTGCTGTGCCTCATGTGCTTCATGCTTCAGGTTTGGTTTATAGTTGAAAAAAATTAAAGTCAGCTCTCAAATATCACTTCAACATGTTTGTATTGGAAAAATAATTTGATTTAAAAACTTGTAAAAGTTAAAAGCAATTTTCGTATAATACACAATGCATTGTACACAGGTTGGTATTGTCGACATGTTATCTTTCAGCACAAATATATTACATTTCAAACATAGTCGGGGCCATGCGGTGGCAGATACATGTCTGACACAAAACCTTAATCTATTAATTTATTCAAACTTCAATTAGCCGCAGACAGATTACGTTTTACAAACTGAAAAAATCATTGCAGAAAAGAGTAATGAGTAAATAGGAATAATCCAATTTAGGAACGCTTCTTTCCATTTCCGATCAAATATATACTTGGTATACTTTCTTTTTACCCTTAGTTTATGTAGCAGCCTGGAAATGAGAAGCACATACAGCAGTTGGATTGTTTGAAATGCGACGCCCACCTGCCCGATATATGTGTAGCGGTCTATCATTTTGTCCAGCAAGAAGAACTCCTGGGGGGTCAGCATTCGGACCTGACCAGAGGAGCCAGCCACGTGACGGTACAGGAAGTTGCCGTGGTCAATCTTGGTCACCGTACAGTTGCCTAGCAGCTCATCGATGATGTAGGCGACTCCTGTTTGACACATACAATGATTATACCATATCTGGATGTTGCATGAAATGGTTTCTGTGAATGAGAGAGTGTGTAGCACTGTGTACCATTAGTTCACCAACATCACACACCTTGATAATCAGTTCAAACAGTACACATGTTGAATCAAACCCGAGAAGTCGGCGAGACAAGCGATCGCTAAGAACACACGGCTAGCCCAAGCGTGAGAGTGTTGAATGATATCCATTGAATGATATTCTTATAAGAGAAGGACACAAGCCAGCAATTCCTATAAGAGATGGACACAAGCCAGCTATTCTATAAGAGATGGACACCTACTTTCCTATAAGAGAGATCCACAAGCCAGCTACTTCCTATAAGAGATGGACAACAAGCAAGCTATTCCTATAAGAGAAGGACACAAGCCAGCAATTCCTATAAGAGATGGACACCTACTATTCCTATAATCAGATCCTTGGACTACTGGCTATTCCTATGTATTCAACAGGCAAGCTATTCTTATAAGAGATGGACACAAGCAAGCTATTCTTATGGACACAAGCTTTCGCTATTCTTATAAGAGAAGGACACAAGCTTTCTTATAAAATCAGATCCTTCTTATAAGCTACTGGCTTCGCTGTATTCTTATAAGAGATGCAAGCTATTCCTATAAGAGATATAAGAGATGGACACAAGCAGCTATTCTTATAAGAGAAGGACACCTATTCTTATAAGGAAATCAGATCCTTGAAGCTATTGGCTTCGCTGTATAAGAGTATTCAACACAAGCAAGCTATTCTTATAAAGAGAAGGACACAAGCAAGCTATTCTTATAAGAGAAGGACACCTAAGATATTCTTATAAGAGAAGGATGCAGCTATTCTTATAAGAGAAGGATACTTATAAGAGAAGGACACAAGCAAGCTCTTAAGCAAGATATTCTTATAAGAGAAGGATACAAGCAAGCTATTCATATAAGAGATGGACACAAGCAAGCTATTCTTATAAGAGAAGGACACAAGCAAGCTATTCTTATAAGAGAAGGACACAAGCAAGATATTCTTATAAGAGAAGGATACAAGCAAGATATTCTTATAGAGGGAAATGAGATCCAAAGCTATTCTTATAAGAGATGGACTATTCTTATAAGAGATGGAACACAAGCAAAGCTATTCTTATAAGAGAAGGATACAAGCAAGAAGAGAAGGACACAAGCAAGATATTCCTATAAGAGATGGATACAAGCAAGATATTCTTATAAGAGATGGACACCTACTTTAGGGAAATGAGATCCTTGAAGTTATTGGCTTCGCTGTATTCAACACGCAAGCTATTCTTATAAGAGAAGGACACAAGCAAGCTATTCTTATCAGAGAAGGACACCTACTTTCGGGAAAAGAGATCCTTGAAGCTACTGGCTTCGCTGTATTCAACAGACAAGCTATTCTTATAAGAGAAGGACACAAGCCAGCTATTCTTATAAGATAAGGACACCTACTTTCGGGAAATCAGATCCTTGAAGCTATTGGCTTCCCTGTATTATACAAGCAAGCGGTCTGGTAGTCGCGTGGTGGTAGTGCTGCTTGCACCGCCCATTACCAGGGAACAATTTGAGAAGCCATACACACGTTTCCTACCCTGGATGAGAAGCCATACACACGTTTAATACCCCGGATGAGAAGCTATGTGTGATTGAGCCAACGTATTCTTAAGAATTTTGAGTTTTCATGTGACTGTACCATTTCTTGGACTATCCTAGGCCGCACTTCCAGCTGAGCAGAATTTACTATTTGATATTCCGTTTTATCATTGCCTTAGGAGAAGTTCCTTTTTATTAGCAGCAATCTAATGTGTTCGAGGGGTGATCATCACAAGCAACAACCTGCGCCAACATCGAGTCCGAGTTCTCGCCTGAGGAACATGAGCGTTAGCCACTAGTAAATATACTTTATACAGAGATTATTAGCCGAGTGTTTCAGTATGTAAAATATTACATTATTAGGATTACACATTAAGTGAACAATACAGAACCATACAGAACCAGGAAGAAACCACTTTCCTTATCACAACTGTAGCCAAGAGTTACACTCGGTTTAATTTAATAATAAATATCGATTGTGTTTAAACTTGTACATGCGATGTAACTCTCTATATATGAATGCTGTTATATTAACTGTATACAGACACACAGATTAATTCAGTATAAGGCATTCGGCCCAAAATGCAGACAGTTTAGCGTTACAAAATATCCCTGCGCATATTTACATACATTCCATAGCATAAAATAGTACAAATGCATGATATAAATATATTATATATGACTTTGCCTTATTTGTTGTGCTTTAAATAAAACGATTGAAGTTTTCTGCAAAATATGAGAAGAGATTTTAGAAATAAAGTTATGTTGAGAATATTATATGTATATTTAACTATAAAGTGTAACTGTATTTGAAAACCTGGAGGTGATGTAGCCACGATTTACTATATTAATTAGCTGTCCGAAACCGAATGGCATGGACAGTGTAAGGGACAGTAAGTAAATCTTGGGGTTACACGTCAAGTGTGACAAGGAGCAATGGTGTGGTTGATGAAAGATTAAACAGTGGGCGGGGGAGGTTCAACTCGGACCATGTAACCATAGACAGATGTGAAGTTGAGATATATGTACTATGGGATTAGTAGCTCCTTTGAGTGGCGTATAGAAGTTGGTGTGATGAACAACGGGGAGAGTTCTACGGATATACAGTTTGATATCAAGCACTTGATTAGTAGGTCTGAGTAGAAGGACAACAAGGTACAAGCCTTGTAGACTGTCATATAGACTTGGGCATATAGATATTCATAGGCTTAATAGGTGGGGAGGGCTCATGGCATCTTAGGACGGTCCAGTGGAACAGTCACGATCTGGATATTTGATGATCAATCAACTTGACATGGGAACATTTGGGGGATACAACTACGGGGGAAATCGCGTGTAGCTGAGAACGGTTAGCGGGTCACAACTAGATTGGTCAGAGGTCACTGCTCTCCCAGACACACAGGGTTACTTACACAACGTTTGTTAAGTATACCTGAGTTGTCAGCCTAAAAAGCCACTAGACGTATTTGATGTTACCCGCGAGAGAAGCTCCACGACAAGAACCTAGTTACACGTCTAATGTTATTATTAAATAATGGATGTTTAAGGCGTAATTACGCTCCATGAAATCATTCTAACAGAAACATTGGGAAATTCAATGTATTTATATAGTTAGGTTACAGTTTAGAGAGCATGCAACCACACACTGCATCAATGTATCAATGTTTATATGAAGTGCATGCTGGGAGACCACATTTGCATATTTATCATGACACCAAGTTAATCGAACTGGCGGGATAAACTACGGTCTCACTGACGTAGCTGTTTGGCAACAGAAAGTGTGGCCGCGCGCCATGTCGAGTGACTGAGTTGGGACTAAGGTTTAAATAAAATGGAAATGGTACGCCGCAAGTCGTTACCGTTTGTTGGGGTATCGGGGTATCAGACTAAGTATCTGCGTTTCGCTGAGTTTCCAACGACAGTCAGGGCACAGGGGACCGTAGAATAAGGCTTAGTCTCTGAATGTATATAATTTTGATAGTAACAAACAAGCCCATTTATATTGAAAAGGATCCACTGGGAGACTAGAGATTCAGAACCTCTGGAAATCTAGACTTGCTTTATTTAGGGCTTTTAGCATTGCAGAGAGGGCTTGGCAGCAGGGAAAATAATGTGGTTCAGGGACTGTGAGACAGACTAAGGGGACCGTTGTACAAAGCGATCTTAGGGCTAAGCTGCTCTTAACTCCCATACCTAAACATAGATCTAATGTAAGGTTGTTTGGTGTAACAGTGCCCAGATTCTACGATCTTAACTCGGCCAATATTTGATAAGATCTACATAATACTCACGACATCAACAGAGGAATGTTCAACTAATATATAGAATATAAATATCTACACATCATCACCTGTGTTGAAGTCATTAATCTCCACCATTCTGTTAGAGCCGTACTCGGTGTTGGTTTCCGTAGAGGGTTTGAACCTGTAAGCGGCAATCTGCTGGTTGACGTCATATCTCTCCTGTAACATGTTATAACATGCTGCACACAGGGTTATAACATGCTGCATACAGGGTTATAACATGCTGCATACAGGGTTATAACATGCTGCATACAGGGTTATAACATGCTGCATGCATGGTGCATTATAACAGGCTACACATGTCGTTATACCATGCTACATGCAACGTTAGAATATTGTTCATACACCGTCATGATAGGTACAACTGCACAACTGTATCAAGCCAATAAACACGTATATCATGTTCCACTAAAAGCTAAAACATTTTGCACATACTGTTATCCTGTATTCCACTAAACGCTGAAACAGGTTGCACAAACTGTTGTTCTGTTTTCCACTAAACACGAGCTATCCACTTAACCCTAAATGTGCTCCTGCTTTCCCGTGTTCCACAAAACGCTAAAACATGCTGCCCCGAACCTTTAAACCTGCTCACACAACGTTACAGACTGCTGCATAAACGTTATAACATGTTATAACATGCACAAACGTTATAACATGCTGCACAAACGTTATAACATTCTGTATTAATGCTATAATATGCTGTGCAAACGTTATAATATTCTGCACTTTTCAGAAAGGTTGTGTTCGGCTGATGTCGACTGACCTCCAAGTACGTGACCTCAAGGCTGACGACCTCACCCATCAAGGAGAAGCTGGAGCTCAACGTGGGCATCGTCTTCACGTTGCTGCGTTTGGGGCACACGATGCCGTCCGGGATTTCCTGAAGTCAACACAACGTTGACGTGTAACAATTGGGTGAGATCAGGGGCTAGGCCAGTCATCGGAGGAGTCCAGATGGGGATCAATACGCACCTGTTTTCCGGTCTATACATGGACAACTTAACGTTTGAAAGTCTCATGATTTAAAAGTAAGTAAAGCACGTCACTTTTGACTGCAGCTGATACATGGGATTTCATATTCGTTAATACCTTCAATGTTCATAGCGCTACGGTAGCTTTGAGAAATGGGACTCTTCTATCCATACCGTTTATTTGTGTTTAAAATGTTTTTTAAAACCGATAACACCAAGTCTTACAAAATCCGTTGGGATTGCGCCGCTTTGAAAACCGTAGAAATTATACATGTGATCAAATGTATGGGAGCTGGTGCCACTGTAGACGATTCCCGTCACGTGAGCTGACACCGGAACTGACTCCAGTCCTAAAGAAGATTGCCAGTTGGATTTGTCTGAAAGAAAGGAAAAGACGTGCTATTCACACACTGGGTACTACCTGATGTGTTGAGGTTAATAATCCGTATCAGGTGTGGCCAGTCTAACGGTAATTTTTTTTAACACTGAAGAACGTATAACTGACCTGAAAAATACCACGTGACATTCATGGTTGCATCCATTTGCGGCCAGTACTGACAGCTGTACCACGTGTCTGCCTGAATGCCCCGGATGACAGCCTTCCCGACGTACACCTCTTTGGAACCATTTGATGTGAAGTGCAAAGCCCCGGATGCAGAGAAGATATGACCTTGACCTTGGGTTCCAGGCGAATAGCCGAAGAGAAACTTGGACTGGGAGTCTCCCAGGTTTTGCACCTGGCATTTCGCTACAAGAGTCAAGAAATATTGACATAAAGTCAAACACCGTTGTGTCGAAGTTTGATAAGTCGAACTTGCGCTTGTGTCGAAGTAAAGTCCCTGTATATTTATATTTCATATTCATTTAACGGTTGTGTCGAACTACGGTTAAGTATTTACGAAGGTCTATTCGACACAAAAGTGTTTGACTATGTTCTTATTATTAAATAATATATTGTTATCATGGATATAGTATCATTTTGCCAAAGTAGTAGTAGTAGTAGTAGTAGTAGTAGTAGTAGTAGTAGTAGTAGTAGTAGTAGTAGTAGTAGTTGTTGTAGTTGTTGTTGCCATGGTTGTTGTAGTGTCTTTGAGCAGTGTAGTCAGGAATGCTGTAGGAACTTACAAGTATCAGGTAAAATATTAAGGTAGTCGTTAGAATGGTAGTCAAAGTATCCTTGGAACTTGGTCCCCTTCTGAATCTGAGTTATGGCTCCTCTGTTGCTGTAGTAGTCGTACGCCTCCGTGACAATTGTCGTCTGTTTCTTGTCCAGTAAGTTACATTCCACCTTGACCTTGAACTGGTCGGGAATCTTCGGTTTTGGTTGATCTGTAAGGGAAACAGACGCTTGTGTTTAGTGGAATTGCTGATATCTATGTAGAAACATTATTTATTAAGTAAACAAAGATTGTTAACATATCCGATTGTGTGAATTCTTTTGGGTTGTTTTTTCGTCAAAACCTTGCCCAAGAAGACAAACTGGTATGATGGAAGGCAACCCAAAGGGATACAAGTGTCAGTGACATTAAAGTAACAATCGGTCAACATGTTAACTTTTTCTTGAAAAGAATCCGATGCCTGAAACATCTTTAACATCATAACGTCCCCAGGATTTGTGAAAAAGTGTTAATTGTGACAACACGCCCGAGAGACCTCATAGCCAAGTCAAAAGTCAAAAGATGTTTATTGTATGAAAAAGGCCTCCGGCCCATATACATGAGAGTTACAGTGATAAAGGAATATTCTGGATATTTACATATATATTTAAGGGTATACAATTCGCTTTATAAGAAGATCTCTTTTAGCTAATGCATATTTTATATATAAGGACAATTGAGCAAGAATATTTTCATTATTGGTTTGTAACAAAGATATATATGCATAATGGGGCTGCTTTGCAAGAATATGGTGCGGTATATATTTCTGTCTTAATTCGTGATAACAAGGACATATCAGGGTAAAATGAATTTCATTTTCTATTCCAACGTTACATAAAGGACAATATCGACGTTCTTTCTGGACAGAGGTTTTTCTACCCTCATTAATCATTAAAGATAACAAACCTAAACGATACTTTACGAACATTGTTCTTAAACTATATGTTGTAATTATTGATAAGTATTTTTCTGGCTGGAGTAACGTTTTAAAGGTCCTGTAATATTCATATCGTGAGCTTGAATCTAGGGTGGATTTCCATTCTTGATTGAACATATCTATTGATCTAACACGAAATTCATTAATAAACCAGTTCACATCGCCAATTGTTTGGCTCAACCATACGAAACCGAAACCGTGAGAAAATAATAAATTTCTGATATCAGTTACCCAAGTGTGTTTTCCCAAATTATCCAGATTTAAAAGCATATTGTAAGCTAATTTTGGCAGACGTTGTTCGTGCATATTTAGAACCTTAAACCAATATTTTAAACATCTTATGTGAGAATTGATATACAAAGGAAATCTGCCACATTCGCCATATACCATGCAGTTAGGTGTCTTTGAGCTTACATTGAGGTACTTTTACAGGCTAAAAGATGCACTCTCTCAATACAATCAAAACGCTGAAAACCCCATATTTCAGATCCATATAATAAAATGGGTTGAATCTGAGAATTAAATATCTTAAAAAACACATTGGGTGACATAGTTCCAACTTTGTATAAAACCGATAAAACTTGTATTAAAGCCTTTTTCCACGTAAAGTTAAGTTATGTGCACATTTATTCAAGTTCATTCTGTTTGAAAACAAAAACCCTAAGTAAGAATATTGATCGGATACATTAATCAACTGACCATCAAAAAACAGCGTTCGTTTCTGGCCACGGACCGCCCTCCTAAATATCACAATATCTGTTTTGCTTAAATTTACTGTTAACTTCCATTCTTTAGTATAACTTTCTAAGATATTTAATTGATTTTGTGTAAACCGACCACAGTATCCGAAACTAAAATAACGTCGTCAGCAAAGGAGCATTATTAGGACTTCTACAAGATCTGGGTACATTTGGATTCCATGTTTCCAGCTAAATTGATATCGTGATATAATTCACTAATGAAGAAGGAAAATAGGGTGGACTTAAGCAGCAACCTTGTCTTAAACCAAGTGGGCAATCGAAAAATCTGTAACCCCGTCTTTGCAACGCACACAAGATCGAACGTTAGAATACATTGATTTGGAGAATGCTAACCATTTTCCTCGTAAACCTTGCCTTTGCGTAAACACTGCCATAATTTAAAACGATTGACTGAGTCGAATGCCTTTTAAAATCTACAAATGCTATGTACAACTTATGTTTTCTTTTTGATAGTGATTTTGGACTAGTGCATACAGAGTAAATATATGATCAGTGGTAGAATATCCCTTTCTAAATCCTGCCTGGGATTCAGGAATCTTATCACGCATATTCGCCCAGTTTGATAGTCCTATTGTTCAATATCAACGTAAATACTTTCCCTCAAGATACTTTCATTATTGATATAATTCAGGATGATTATTTTCTGGATCGTTTCTGTCGCCCTTTTATGAGTGGATTTATTATAGAGCTTGACCAACTGCAGGGAAAAATTCCTATGTTCATACAGCTTATTGGCATAGGAGTGTTTATTTTAAGATGATTTATCTACATTAAAAATTGATTGATCGTGAGTTATTTTACCTCTTGAAAATACATTTGAATTGTATATGCTATTTCCGGACTGGTTGCTCTTTTTCCAAAATGTATATAGGTCTGCATTCTCAAATCAAACTTATACTTTCGTATATATTAATATATCGTAAACGAAGATGGAGACATTTTACAATCAATCTGAAAGCAGAAAGGCAATCGAACATGAATTCCTCCAATGATCGCTTATTTCCACACAAGGGACAGTCCCAAACAATGCTTTAGTGTTCAGAGTTTAGTCGTGAGTTATTTTAGCTGCTTTGAATTGTATATGTGACTTTGTTGCATGGAGCACATTTTCAATCTGAAAGCAGAAAGGCAATCGAACATGTAATGATCGCCTTATTGGGACAGTCAGAATGACACAGAATTTTGTGAATACATTACAACGTTTCTAAGAATTATATTGGTGTTTTTGTCTTTTCATTGTAAGGTGAATAATTACAATCGACAATTTATGATATCTTGCTTTATATGAATGTTTCATTCGGTATATAAGTGTATTATACCTCAGTTATTGTATAGTCGTACTTGGTGTGTGAATGAGTGGGTGGGTGATATTGGTTGAACAGTAGTTCATTCTGATCAGACTGCCACCATGGCCACTGTGGTCTACAGGATAGACTGGTTCCGTGCACTGGCCGCGTCATATCACGGGGATACAAACAGATCAGCTAAAGGTGAAGGTCGGTAATGAGAATCGCCAGCAGACATCGGGTTCAGGGAGGCAATCGTTAATTCCTGACAATTGATTTAAAGCAATTCGAAGCCACTTTTTTAGATTGTCATTTTTGTCATACTTACAATCTTACAATAAACTATTCCCCATCCACGCAAACCTAACTTGGTGTTAACACAACAGACTAGACTAACAACTAGTCTCTGAAATGAACATATTTTACAGAAAAAAGGCTCATAGTGAAAAAAAAACAGAATATAATAAAAAGGAGCCCTGAGACATTCTTGAAGCTGTGGAAATCTAGACATGCCACATTTCTAGACTTGCGTGGGATTTCTTTGATATATTTGCTTCAGGGTCTGTATGACAGACTAACAACAGACTGAATTGCATGTCTGTACCGAGTTAGGGGACCAAGAGTTGTCTCCCCTCAATGGCTATCGACTGCAGTAGTGCTCAAATGAACCCCATACAAACCCTATACCTCAGAATAAATGTGCTAACTAACGCGACCCATTAGTGTGATTCATGTTGTCAAGAGGCCAGTAATTGTTTGAGGAAGAATGGAGACAATTCTTGCAGTCATGACCTACATCCGAGTCAGGTTTGGTTGTGAACTTACGTTCTGAGTGTTGATGTATAGATCGCTGTTTTAGGTTATCAAAGGCTGAATTGTATTTACACTGGACACACTACAATATCATGATCCCGACACACAAATGGCCAGGATTGATTGCTGTGAAAGGGTAAATTATTGAGTCACACCGCTTCTAAATTCTCTCATGGCACGAAGGTATTGTTGTAACAGCGTGAGTGTATACATTCGTTCAACTATAACACTCCGACGTCATCGGGGTTTGTCGGTTTTCTAAACTATCTGACGTAATGTTTCCTGGTTTATGAAGAGCGCGAAGATTTGCTGTACTGAAAGTTGAAACTATGAGTCGTTTCCCAGAGTTTATGAGTTTGCACCTCCGCTTCATTGTCCTTTTGCCGACATGTTTGTTTGATACAGATTAATCTTACACAATTAATTTCGCATCTGCGAAGTTCGATAGGAAATGTGTTGTTCCATTGCCTTGTAACGGAAGTGAATAAACATACGTATCCAAGTCTGTGAATTCAATAAATTAATTCTGTGTAAGAAAAATACTGGACTGGGCTTCGCGCATGCTGTCGGTCGTGTTTTAAAAGGTCACGGCAGTCTCGACAAACGTGCATGGCTGTACCAATCGATAACTCTACACGGGGAGACACATGGATCTGTTTCACGAAGGAGACGATTTAACATGCTTTCTTCACACTTCATATGAGGCACTTCTCACAACGGTATGTTGTTGTCGTAGCAAGTTGTTTGTTTGTTTTATGTTGGATATGTCAACACCGATATCCACAATATTCCAGCTATATGACGGAATCTAGGGAGACAGTGTTTGGAAAGGGAGGGTTGTATTTTTAGATTTGTTTAAATAAACACAAGATACGTTTGCTTAACCAATAATAGGATGTTGATTTTTGTCGATGATGTGATATGATTTATACTAGATCATCTGCATGCACACACACGCACATACGCGCTCATGCTCGCAGTCCAGCGTGCGGAATAGTTTCCAAATGTTGCTAGCTAAATTTTAGTCGGGCTAGCTCTACCTGCAATTTGAATGTAGGCACGGGTTTCATCATTAAGCTGCTAACATGATGAACATTTTTATCAGGCCATAATCTTACATGATTTAAAAGTGTATTATAACTTAGTAAGTCGGAGAGAATGCTATGTTTACAAAATGACACCATGAAAATTCACAAACCAGTCGGGCCAGTGACTGTGGAGATTTACTGGACCCAACTGGCTTTTTACTAGCCACGGGCTAGCGGGCCATTGGCTATTTCGCACACTGGGCTCGCACACACTAATACATGCACACACGGACACACACTCACATAGAAAAACCGAAACGGACACATACAGACACACAGAGAGAATCCACCAAATACACAGCCATACATACTTACACACAGACTAACAAACACGCATAAAGACGTACAAACTAAAACACCCTCAAACACACACATATTCACACTCAAAATATCGCTCAAGTTGAACAAGTTCTAAGACTTCACTCCAAAATTAAACATGTAAACTGCAGTTGTCCTTAGGGAGTTAGGGAATGCATCGAGACACTCTGATTGACTTGAAGATCAAAAGTAACTCGTTATGTTAATAACCCTTAACTGTATTCTTTTCTTATCACTAGGGGACTATTGAGATCTATATTGAGATAGTCTATTGCAAGCTACTATTGAATAGTCTATTGCAAGCTATTGCGATGTTGATAGTCTATTGCATACTATTGCGATATCGATAGTCTATTGCATGCTCGATAGTCTATTGCAAGCTATTGCGATATCGATAGTCTATTGCAAGCTACTATTGCGATAACTATTGCGATAGTCCAGAAAAAGCTACTATTCAAATGTCAGATACTATTGCGATTGCAAGCTACTATTGTGATGACCATTTTCTACCTAACTTCTTCTACATTAAACTACTTAAACCATAAAATGTGTTCAGTTGTTTATTCCTTATAACTTTCAGGTCAGTATTGGTCAAGTTGTCATGATGACTTCTTCATGAACATGACTTAGCATTAAAACATTCCACAACAAGCCAACACATTCACACAGGATTTAATACTATTTATTACAAAACTGTGGTTTGCAGACTCTTTGATCCCCACAACTTTGTGTGTAAAATAACATACAAAATAAAGAATAAATACTGGCTCTGTGGCTCTGTCACATTTTTGACAAATGGTCACCTTTCAGTTTCAATAGAAAACACTTACTGTGTGTAAAGGTTGAAAATTAAACAGTTCGCAGGTAGATATGTTTTAGGTTTAACAACATGAAGATGAAAAAATATATCCAATGCACTGAACCGTCAACAGACTCAACAGATTTAAAGAAGGCAATAATCTTTTGTCACTATGAAAGTATCAAGAAATCACAAATAAACCTGTCGGCAGATAACTTGGTGACTCAAGTTGAAAGATAGGTTAACATAATTAGCAAATGGCAATATTTCACATTAACTCTGATTTTACTCAAATAGTGTGATGAAGGCAGATAATAGTTCATTTTTTATCTTGGTTTCCAACTTTCCAATTCTTCTTTAGAAACAAGAGTCTGTCCACATGTGCAGATTTAAGAGTCTGCTAGTCCATCCATCAGTTGTGAGTGAAACATTCTCAGCACAGGAAAGGTCATTCCTGACCTCAGTTTTAACAGACTCATACAACATGGGCAAGGCAGAATCTGAGAAATACTGTCACGAGGGGATTGTGTAACTCTACATGCCCCTTATATCACTGAGAAATACTGTCGCGAGGGTGTAACTTGTGTAACTGTCGCGAGGGGGTTGTGTAACTCTACATGCCCCTTATATCACTGAGAAATACTGTCGCGAGGGGGTTGTGTAACTCTACATGCCCCTTATATCACTGAGAAATACTGTCGCGAGGGGGTTGTGTAACTCTACATGCCGCTTATATCACTGCAAAATGCTGTCGCTCACAGCAAATGGATATTAATCCCAATCGGGGGTAGGACTGTAGGACAGAACATGTTTTCAAGTTACCGTTATTTATAAAACAAATTAAAGCGATAGTATCGATAGTTGATGCAACAATCGATGCATTGGATCGTCATTTCATACATCTATCGATAAAGTACTATCGGGGGACTCACAATCGCGATCAATCGATAGTTCGATGCATCGTTGCACCCTTAAGTAATATATTTCACAAGTAACGTGCAAACTCCTTACATTGTCCTGACTGGGTAGGCTGCGTACACACACTGCTGTCTTTGGCTGACAAACAAACATGGAGAATGGTGGTAAGCAGGATGAGGGTCTTCATGATGGCGATGCGCGGAGTTCATATGCCTGTAACGAAGGGATGAATGAGTGTTATTATACGCCGTATGCAATAGTTAAAGGTCCACCACAACGGTATGTATATTTCAGTGTGAAACAGTCTTTAATATCGACAATCCAAATTACATAGATTTAATGGCTATATAGCTCAAATATTGAAGATGCGACGTTAGCCCACTGGTGGTTTCAGTCATTGGAATATAAGGCAGGTTTTATATGTACTTCTTTCTTACTAGTTGTATAAGGTATACACGTTTAATGTAGTTGCACACAGCGATACACAGTATGAAATACATCTACTGATGGGCATTGCTCAGAGAGTCACGAACCAGCCCTGAGTAGAGCGCATTACTCGGATACAGCTGACGATGTTCAGCGTTATATCTGGGCTGTAAGTGGCCTGTATGTTGGAAGACATCTGCCTCAGCATGTTATCACTACTATCAGTGTGACGCCAAAACCTGAAGACATGTATTTTTTTCATTTGTACTGGTTTCTCAAGATCAAAAAGAAAATCCATACAATGAGAAATGTATTTCGGGGTGCACTGCCCTTTCATAGAGTCCTTTCTGTCATGGAAGGGCATTCTTTGTCTTAACACAGGTCTTAGACACAAGATAAAATACCATGTTGATTCTCAACACTCAAAGGATTTGTTTGACTTTTTGCAGTCTCAGAAAAGACCCAAGTTCGAAGTTTCAAAAGAGTGGTTAAAGGCCTTTAAAATATAGGTATGTACTAAGAAATTATGCGTCAGTTATGTTAATTATCAGACTATCATACAAATGAAGCAAACCCCAAACCACATGTCGCATATCATTCCTGTGTTTCCGTACAGCGATCACAGACCACGCTTCTCTAACAATATGTACAATGTGTACTGATTGTACCTCGGTGATAATACTTCTATCACAGGCCGGAGAAAGCCGAGGTGTAACCGTTGGTCTGAATGTAGTCACTTCGGCCAGAAGAGAACACGCATACAGATTAAACTTTCGGTGATATGAAAGCCCGACCACCACCCCCCATCCCCCATCCCCCGAGTTCCATCTGGGGCCCGCCCGTTTACCTCCGACGTCCGTGCTCCCCACTCCGCCTCCCTCCCAGGGAACTCGTTACACGTGACATCCTCATCCCTGTTGTATAGAAGAATAACGCCCCATCTACACAATGTTGTCGAAATCAGTAACACATTTTATAACAGCGGTATTTATATGTGGCAATGAATGTTAGTGTTATGGTGTACAAATGAACGCCAGCTTACCTGCCCAGTCGTCCAAGCCTGTATCCCTGGACTCTCAGGTTTGGTTGATATCACGTCGTCCCGATAACACACTGATAACAGCAAGACGGAGATACCGTATCTCTTCACCGATGTACAGTGAGTGAGTGCTTGGTCAAGTATTTCAGAGATGTCACAGAGGTACACAATGGTACATGATGGTACACGATGGTACACAATGCTACACGATCTGACAGTCGTGCCGGATGTGAGCTGATTTGAAACTGAAAATGTCTTCCCAGTACTATTATGGAAGTGAATTGTGTTGCTTGTCTGGTGCACTACGGTGAGTGAGTTAGTGAGGATGTTACGACTACGTCTTGCAGTACTTCCGTTCTTAACGACATGTCATCTTCAGGCAATTCTTTGCACCGACTGTAAAATCCCAAGATAGTACGTCTACAGACCAAGGGTGGAACCGTGGACGAAGGTAGGGCGAGTGATCAGCGGATGGGTAACTCTGATGACAGGTTTGGAACCTTAGACTACTGCTTAACCCGTATCTCGATCTAAGACAGTGGAATTCGGTAGTAAATGTAACCATCATATAAAGGCTTGTGTTTGGGAAACTATATAAACTTGGTATTTGGATTCGCGGAGCAGGATTCTTAATTTATTTACAATTAGCATGTGCATGTTCGTGCACGGCGCACACGTGTTTGCGTGTCTCTTGTGAGCATGACATGAGTATTTTTATGTGAACATGCAGTGATTGTTAAGCTGTCATTGGCTTTCTGTTTTTAAACCGTAAATAAGGTTTACGAAATTGCACGACGTGATGAAAATCAATGTCTTTGGGTATGCTGCCAACAGTAATGGTGTTTTAGTGCCAGGCGTTTTAATGTTCATCGATTCACGATAGCATCTCTTTGGAAACAACAACGTGCCATAGACCAGTCTCCCACGTGAGACGTCATGTCAACAAGACAACCATGTTCGATTGGTGCATCTAAGGAATCTAAAGCTCGAAGAATTGTTTGGTTGAGACCACATAATGGCAGGTACCTGTGGAAACAGTTTTGGGAGCCCAACATCCGACCACCAGCTGTACAGGGCACCGTCAGGCACGCCCGGTGAAGACAGCGTCTGACGTTTAGAAGACCCATAATGTTGTTCATCGATGATTCAAGGTATGATCTTGACAGGTGCGATGGTAGTTCAATGGTCTGCAGGCAAGGAGAACACACTTGCGTCATACGACGTCGTCGGCTGGGGGTGGGAGTGTCATGGTAACGGGTTACACCACGGCTGAGGGGAGAACACAACTCATCATTGTTAAGGGCGATTTGAAAGGGGTTTGTGGTGAGTGAGTATGGTTTTACGCCGCTTTTAGCAATATCCCAGCAATATCACGGCGGGGGACACCAGAAAGGACTGCGGTAAACATTGTTCAATAACGGACGGAAGAATTGATTCTCACGATTTATATATATGAGTGTATCTCACAACTCTTTGTTATGAAGCTCCCAGTAGTCTAAGAATGAAATTGTCGCGACTACTGAGTGTTTCGTGAGGTCAACCTGGTACATGCAATGTCCTCACCCTCCCTGATTTTGGGAAACAGTGAGCGGAGAGAGCACAACAGCATTGTGTGCGTGTCAGCCAATCACAGTAGATGTTGTGATAGTCACGTGTTTACGATATGTTGTGGGGAGGATATTTCACAACAGATATTTCCCAAGTATTTCCGTTAGTATAAGCCACACCCACTAACAAACTACATTATTCCGATTGGTTGATAGTAATATGATCGGGTATATGGAGTGTTACTGCCTTGAAACCGTCAATGAGTCTGTGTTGATGTCTACATTTGTGTTAATCTTTTGATAAAGACCCGAAAATTATCATTATTTAAGAACCATAAGAACTTATTTCAATATTATTTTGCGTTTATAGACGTATAAACATAAAATTCGGCGTGCACCCCAACTCGGACTGAAACAGTATGTACGCCATTTCTTACACTTATCTTATCTCCATAAACACAGACTGTATTTCGTAAGTGTTTAAATAACAGCTTTTTCTAAATAATTCCAGTAGTTTTCCTACCATATGTTGTATTAAACGAGGCACTATTGGAGGCGCTATTCCCATGACATCGCCTCTGTATGGTATGACAAGAACACATCGGGTTTCACTTTTAAAAACAAACAAACGGTTTTGGCTTCCTTTTAACGACAAAAGTAAATTTGATATTTTACTAGAAAGTATTTGCTCTAGAACATATACTATAATTATTATTATTTACTCATGTGACCCTGTCTCATCTGGAGACCACACGCTGGGTATAAACAACCCAAGGTGTTGTCCTCCACACAGGAGATCCGCCTACTACTTCTGTCTGACAGGTCATAAATGATTCTTATTGAAATTCTTAAATGGTACTGTTCCTTTTGACACTTTAACACGAGATGAAAGGAAGGCAGTTTAAAGACACAACAAGGTTCGGATTGTATTGACGTGAACATGGTGACGATAATGGTGTTTTCATGTCGACGAACTGTTGTGATGCGCCCATCTCGAGATCAGTCCGAATGAAGCATGTTGATGAAAACATTGATTGTTGCTGACAATTTCCCTGTGGATGACAAGTTCTACAGAACACTGCCAGGTTCTACAGTAAAGTGCCTTGATTACAATGTTTGCACAGGTAAGTGCTAGGTTGTGAGCCGGCACATTTTGTGCTTGTTCGCCACAGTTCCTCATCAGGGTCTTTATTAGGCGGAAATTGTGGAACTGTTCAAGTACATTCCGTGGTGAAAAACATGACCTCGTGACTTAATGTACAGTGAAGCTTTTTGAAGTTACTTTACCTGGCGGTCGGTTGAAGGCTTTTGAATCGTGGAGCTGGGATGTACATGGGTTTCGCTCCTCTAATAAGTAGAACTACAGCCTCTACAGGCTAATTGTGGTAAATGTCGGGCAGACATGCATGTTTAAGGGGGTCCTCAACTTTGTAGGCCTGGATGAGTGAGTGAGGGGTGTTTGGATGTGTGAATGTGTGTATGTGAAAGGATGTGTGTGGATGTGTGAAAGGATGTGTGTGGATGTGTGAAAGGGTGTGTGTGAATGTGTGAAAGGGTGTGTGGATGTGTGAAAGGGTGTGTGTGGATGTGTGAAAGTGTGTGTGTGGATGTGTGAAAGTGTGTGTGGATGTGTGAAAGGGTGTGTGTGTGGATGTGTGACGGGTGTGTGTGAAAGTGTGTGTGTGAAAGTGTGTGTGTGTGTGTGTGTGCGTGTGCGTGTGCGTGTCTTTGGAAGGGTGTAATGCAAGATCACCCTGAACCCGGTCTATTCCAGAAAGATACACGAACGTCGTCAGTTTTGACGTCACACAACAGGGAGACGTTCTCAGCAGAGGTGCCATGTTTATTCAAGCTTTCGTAAGTCAGCCAATGAGAATTGACTGGCAAGAGTGAGTGAGGTTTAAAGCCGCTTCAAGCAGTAGCCCAGATATATCGGGGAGTAATGATATGTCGTGGGACGAAGGCTCGAAGTAACGCAAGCCTTTACAATCCTATGAGCACTGGTGTGGAGCCGACAAACATTAGCATAATTAGAGGAACACAAGACAACCATAGAAGTTAACATCGGCGTTACATTAAGACGGGATACCGACAATATATACCTAACAAATATAACAGTTATGAAAATGTACAACATCGATTTCACTCCAGGTTACCGTCCGTGTTTCATCCCAGTCAATAGCCGGTCCAATATCACCTCATCATGGATTCGTTCATGGTCACCACGTAATGCCAATGTTATATGCTCTCTAACAGCCACCCTTCCTATTTGTGCATCGATATAACCCCCACCCACCAACACCTCTTTGAACATCTCCTTACACGTGCTGTTGCGGCAGTATTGTCAAGTCGGAGAACTCACGTGTTGCATCGCACATAGTCTGCAGACATGTTGATAACTGGTACAGTCAGTTAAAAAAATATCATCACGTATATAAAAATGGTATCCATGAAATCTGAAATCAGTTAATGGATAAACGAACATTGTCCTCCTCAGCGCGGCCTGGCCTGTTTACTCCCGCCCCCGCTGTGACGCTGTGGTAGGTCGTGTCGCCCATGTCGTCCCGGGTCATCAGCTTTCTCAGATTGGCGACTGCAACCTTGACATCGCGTAACAACGACGTAAAGTCAAGGACGACGATGCTACCGAGAGACGCCACGAGAACCAGGACCCCCACATAGCCAATGGACTGCGCGGACGGGCGATAGTCCGGGACACTGATGCGCTTCCGGACTGTGGCGGAAATGTTTTCCTTATTGAGTAAGAGTCTGCTTTGTATTCGTTTAATCTCCATCTCAAGCTGCTCTTTGGTCATGTTGGCGACAAATGTTGTGTAGATGCTGCAGTCACACACACAGTTGGCAGTGTTGGTGGTGTTTGTGGCCAACGTCGTCAGCCCATAATCGACTGTAGTGATGAACGACCCTCCGGACACCCCTGAAATCAGACAGATGGAAATATATATATTCATGATAATGTTGTATTTACCGCCGATGGCCGATTCAGGACATCACAGCGTGGAGACAGAAGCAGAGATAAGCACGAATAGTGAGTGAGTTTAGTTTTACGCCGCTTTCAGCAATATTCCAGCAATATCAGGCGAGGGACACCAGAAATGGGCTTCACACAATTGCACCCATGCGGGAAATCGAACCCGGGTCTTCGGCGTGACGAGCCGACGCTTTAACCACTAGGCTACCCCGCCGCCCTTAAGCACGAATAGGTAGAACTAATAATAACGTCAGTTGAGGTGCGACCAGTTTGGAAATACTGTTTGAAAATACTGTTTGGAAATACTGTTTGCGCCGCTTCCACCAGATATCGGTGCAAGTTCATGCGGAAGCAGGTTAGGGTCCAAGGGGTTATAGCTATAGTCATCGGACTGTTTCCAGAACGCGGGGATATGGTGGTGTAAAAGAATACATACAGGTAATAGGGTTGGCGGAATGCAAGTTCAGCTGCAAATACTGACCATGTGTGGTCACCAGTCGAGCTTCGGGACTGTTGGGTCGGATAGTGGTTAAAGCATTCACTCGTTGTGCTGGGTTCGTTAACCCACGTCTGTGTCCAGTTGCCATGCTATTGCTGGAATGTTACAGCGGCGTAAAACTATATTCATTTACTGTTTGGCGTTTTGTGCCTTAATTTAACCTGGGCTGTAAAGACGTCTGTGAGATGACGTCAGCCTGCCTCTCCCCACATCTACAGACATATCCCTGTCCGACCATTGTGAATGTAAGCGCTGAGTTCCTACAATAACGTCAAACGAGACGGACAAGAAAACTGCCTTGTACTGGAGAAATATGATCCAATTATCTACCCGTAAACCCAACATTGAGAGCACACCGAGTCTGTCCGGAATCACCTGTTCACAGGAAGTCCGATTCCGTTTCTCAAATGTAACTCGCTCCTGCAGCCGCATCACCAAATACAGACCTCAAAGCCAATAAGAGCCCTGATTTCATCTACTGCGGGTCCGGCTTCCATCCACCAACTTACTAGGAAATCAATATTTATTTATGTATGTTGATGCAATATACAGGAGAATGCACTCGTTTTACACTTATGTTGTTACCTTGTTTACAAACAACATACAGCTGGGATGCTTCTGAAACAAATATATACTCATGATATGGTCAAATATATACTCATGATATGGTCAAATATATACTCATGATATGGTCAAATATATACTCATGATATGGTCAAATATATACTCATGATATGGTCAAATATATACTCATGATATGGTCAAATATATACTCATGATATGGTCAAATATATACTCATGATATGGTCAAATATATACTCATGATATGGTCAAATATATACTCATGATATGGTCAAATTTGCTCATGATCAACTCTATGCTTTATAGCATATGGTCAAATATATACTCATGATATGGATGAGGAATCAGGGTTTTTAGCGCTTCTTACGGATGATTTTATATACTACGACAATACAATTTATCCGGGCGATTTCAAGCATACGCCAGAGAATAACTCTTAAAGAGTTAAGTTCTGTGATATAAATGTCACAGGCGACATGTTTATATTAGAAAGGAGGAAAAAAACAACCAGACTGATTTGATTATATCGGTTTGACTGGATTTTCTACACTGATTTCAGCGACAACAAAATCCAGTTTGTCAATAGCTAACGAGCATTATCGTCGACGCAACGAATGTCCATGCCCACTTTACATTTGATCCATAATCAATATGTTCATAATTAAAGGTACACTGCTGCGTCCGTGTCTTGCATTGTTGGGATAGAAACTGGACGGGTATAAATGTGATACATAGGGCCGGGCTGCTGATCTGAAAATGGTCGGAATCTCACACAGGACTTGCGTATTGGTGAAACCATTCTTTGTGGATGTAGCATGATTATGTTTTAAAGGTATATCAACAACAAAACTCTTAAATCTACTAAAAATTCTATTTTGTAAATAAAATTAACAAGGGTCTGTGATCATTTGGATCATCAAAAATGAAGAACTTGCAGCGCAGTGATCTTGATCATCTAAGTGCAGAAAAGGTCTCAACACACTCAAAACATCCATGAATACAGAAGTAGACAAGAATGTTCCTTCCTATGTCACGTAAAGAGATGTCTAGCAGAGGTTAACGTGGCTGGAAGTTTCTTGAAGATTTCTGGAAGTTTCTTGAAGATTTCTGTTCCGCACGCCCGGTTATTACAAACGAACCGTCGAATCCACGATGTGGTGTTGTCCAACGAAAGACAGCTAATGCTGCTAGTACACTCGGTTAGGACATTGATTTTGGCACTTCTGAGCGTATCAGTTCACCAGGAACAAAGTGCCTCTAATCCAGCTCTGTGTGAAGCTGGATCAGAAAGGTTCTTGCACCAATTTGTAATTATACTTGGGTCGCCACTTCCTGCCAAGGAATAGTCGAAATAGTGAACAGATTTGACATTACCGCCAGCAAAGACGGCAAAGCTGTCCCATGTAGATGAAAGTTTACGGCACCCGTTTCTGGAATGCCGACGATGTCATCAAGGTGGACTGTCTCCCAAAAGGTCAGGGGGCGGTGGGGTAGTCAAGTGGTTAAAGCGTTGGCTTGTCACGCCAAAGATCCGGGTTCGATTCCCCACATGGGAACAATGTGTGAAGCCCATTCTTGGTGTCCCCCGCCGTGATATTGCTGGAATATTGCTAAGAGCGGCGTAAAACCATATTCACTCACTCCAAAAGTTCAGACTACAAAAAGATCTTGCAAACTGGGTAAATTCAGGATGAAATTATGATTAAGAGACGTGACAAGGTAAGTCATGATCTCCCTTCATGGAAACCTGCCAGTGCACTGTTTAAGGGGGAAGGAAATACTGCATTGGCAGAGGTCACGGACATTGACGACGTTATAGCAGCGCGCAGACAGAGTAAGGACGGATCCCGGCGCTGTTAGGGGATTGAATTGAATCATCCATCTAAGACTAGGCACCTTGTTTCATGAAGTACCAGTAACTGAATATATTCAGTGTCCCCAGAAACATATTCCATTTGGTGTAAAGGACAAAGTAGCTGTGGATATTATGACACCGGGTGTTGGGTAAAAGGGTATTAAACCTTTCCTTCCTGCAAGTACACGAGTAGCTCCCGCCATGCCTACTGTTGGCGGTAGCCCAGTGTGCTCACACAGCATAGTGCCAATACACCTGGTTACACACACCGGTGAGCAGTGATCATTGCATTAACTCTTCGTCGCTACGCTTTTTGGTAGAGCTCAACTAAATCAAATGATTATTACTTCATGTAATTATTTCATTCGGGCACAAACGCACGTAACACAACCGGAAATTGCTTGCAACGTTGCAATTTTTATGGCAGTGCACAATTACATGATTGGAACATTGAAAGAGAAGGGACCAGTTGGGTCGATAGGAGATAGACAAAACCCGCTTGTAAATAATGGACCCGTGTTTCACTTGCCGCTAAACCATGCACATATAACTCTGTGACGAAAACATATAATTATTTATTAATAAATGGGTAGACAAAACTGATGGGTGCAGTTGTCGTGCAGTGATGACCAGGTGTTGAAACACGCCCGCAATATACTCCCAGTGTGACCCCCCGTGTATGTTAGCCCTGAGTCGTGTATCAATCAATCATCCTTTTTATTACCATAAGTTTACAAATACATGCAAAGCATCATGGGGGTATTTTTCAAAAATATATCACTTTTAGGCTATGGCTTGAAACAAATCCAGCAATTATGTACAGGTAAACTAATCATGTCATGTTGACAGACATTATAATGGAAATAAATTTACATAGATTTCTTAATTGCTTCATATTATGAGTTTCAAATAGGGCTGACATTTTATAATAGTTAGGGTTGTTTACATAATAATTCTTTAAATACATATTTCTGGAAGCAGTAAATTTATTACATTGAAATAAATAATGAAACTCATCTCCGAGTTTGGAGGGACATGACGGACAGAATCGTTTATTTGAGGGAATATTTTCCCAGCGACCTGTTTCAATAGGTAATTTATGGTTGGCGGTTTTAAATTTGATTAAAATATTACAGTGCTTTGTTCCTAATTTACGTTCCAGTAAAGAGATATCATAATGAGATTTCATACATTCGTAGATAACAGCTGTAAGATGGACAGTTGCCGTCGATGGCCTATGATCCCGTGGGGGCGAAGTGAGTGAGTGAGTGAGTGAGTGAGTGAGTGAGTGAGTGAGTGAGTGAGTAGTGAGTGAGTGAGTGAGTGAGTGAGTGAGTGAGTGAGTGAGTGAGTGAGTGAGTGAGTGAGTGAGTGAGTGAGTGAGTGAGTGAGTATGCACAACATTTGCCTTGAAAGGTTAATGTCTCTTTATTTATTTCCAGATTTTCAACCACAGTGCAATACAAAGCTTGTGAAGAAACCTGGAGAAGATCTAGAATACCGGAACTTGTTCGTTCATGTGTTTCCTTCTTCGTTTCCGTCAGTATATTCTGACTGATGTCGAGACTAACGTTTGACGCCTGTGTTATTGGATGACCATTTGGTATTTTGTGTCACTTGTCCCGAATGTGTACTGCACTACAACAGGACATCCCCAGTGAAGTGCCTGACTTCGTATGGTGGCCCAGTGACAACAACACGTATTGATGTCTAACGGTTAACGTCGTGTGCAGGTACATCGCCCTTGTGTTCGTTTGAAGTTGTCACTGTGGCCCACACGCAAGCAAACTCTATTTTATTGATTATCACTTCTAAGGTATAGGGCCCTACAATTAACATCTACGTCTTTGGCGAGCACCGTAATTTTCATTTTTTTCCGAAATAGAAAAATTCAGTTGATAGATCAAAGACACGAACCGTGTTGATTGCTCAGTGGGAGTGTGGCTGTAGGAGACAGAGTGAATCTGGCTGTAGGAGACTGCGTGTGTCTGGCTGTAGGAGACTGCGCGT